TAAGACTGGACCCGCTCCTTCACCGATATTATACAACCTAGCCAAAAATGGAATTAAAAATGAACTTCCTCTAATGTCGACAACTTGCCGGTAATCTTACTTTTATGAAATTTTAATGCTCATTTTTTTTTGCATTGTACTGCATTTCACATTTCGATATTCAACTTTGTTCGAGCCACAGTAATTAGACTTCCAATAAAAGTGAAAAAGATTGAGTTTTAAATTTAAATATATATATCTATAGTTCTAACTTCACAGGAAAAATACCGAAATTCTGCTGTAATGTAAGCTGCATATATTATGTGTATATTAACGTATATTGCTCTTAATCGGAAAATATTATTGATTCAGCTCATGCCATATATATATATCACATCTTTACTAAAAAAGTACATTATGTGAAGTAGGGGTCAGCAACCTACGAGCAAAAGAACATGCCCCGATGCGTTTCGCAGAATTATAAGGACGAACTAGCCCGCTTTACATTTCAACAATGATTCGACCGCGCTCTAGAAATACTCACATTTAACTTAATCACATTTAATTAATATAAGACAGGAGAGCAAAGCCTAAATATGTGGATACGCCGGTTCATATATATATATTATCATCTATAATCATCGAAAGCCTATAGAACTTCTAATGTGTGAATGAGTTCTCAACAAAACAGACCCCCCAATAGTTTTCTGTGATTACATCGAATTTGTTAAAGTACTATTTGTCAGACCAACTTTTCTAATAGTCATCTTTAATGTGAATCTTAATCACATCAGCAAATAGGGTGGGAGTTAACATGACCGCATGGTCGTATCGCTCCCTCTCGTCAATATATACTAAAACAAATTTATTTCTGTTAGGTATTTTGTTATATTGATGACTGTTTGTATTTTGGTTGACAAAATAATAAATATCTCTTTCTCTCTCCAATAACTAACCGCAGTGTCGGTAGCCTATGTGACAGGGGTTTCAATGACGCGTGAATGTCAAATCGTTTTATGGAACACAAACACAAGTGGGTGACACTTAGTCGTACTCCATTTTGTGTCTTGTTTGTGCTTATTAAATATTACTCTGTGTAGTGTAATTTGGAGTTAGTCCTAAAGAAGTAATGCATTGTATGATTCAGCCAGCGACTAATATAATGTCCACGTCGATTTTAAATGTTCTTCCAGCTGTAATGTATAAGTTGATAGCAATAGTAATATATTCGAAACTTTTAAATCGGATTCAAAAGTTATGTGTCCCTACTCAAGAGTTCTACAATGAGCAATGCATTACCTTACCGTATATAAAAAGTGAAACAGAGATGTGCTAATTACTTCCATAAGAGAGCTATATTCAAAAATCTAATGTGATTTGAGAATGAAGATGAAATGATGGATTTGGCGAAAACAATTATTGACGTTTTCATTTCAGGAGACATTCTTGGTAGCCACTGGATTGGCGGATTAGTCACTAACTTTCGGTCTCCAAAATATTTTTTTGTAATGTCCAATTCAGATATGATGCACCAGGTGGCACGTCCAAACTCCATTTGTTTATGAGCAGATTGGATTATCTGGAATAATATATAAACCAGTAAATAAACATAATATGTTTATTTGTACACACCGAACTTCTCTGTAATCAGAAATTAATTTCTCAGGTATTTTTTGAGCCAAGTAGTCTCTCGCTGATTTCATTTCACTCATTTTTTTCACTCACAAACTTGCATGAATCTTTCTTAACATTTCTACACTAGCGAGTTTTTGGGCGGCTTGCTATGATGTTGAGCAACTCCCAGAATGCCAAGTTTCGATTTCAAGTGATCGGAATCTTTTTGAAAGTTGCATTGTAGTGTTGTGTTTGAATCTATTAATTATACACAATGTGCGCCGCACAAAAAGCAGGGTATCATAAGATTGTTCAATAATAAAATCAAAATGACTGAATTTCAGTATATATTTTGAATTTTATATTATATATACGTGTCAGAAACCAGAAAAATAGACAAAAGCATTGACATTCATTCAAATTGAACAGTAGAAGGATAGCATGGCATATGTTTAAAACCGTAGGGTGAACAAAGGTGAATTGCGCATATGAATGTTCTGAACGAAATTGATCACTCAATTACAATGGAAATAATCCAATCCGGCTCAATTTTTCTTTTGTACATACGACATAACAAACCCCTTTTAAAACACATTTCACTCTCAAATTATGTTATTCTTCTTATCTAGTGTATTGTGCTTCAATTTATATTTCAAAAAATCAGAATGATGTTTTATGAATGAGAATGATGTATATAATTTTATAAATATAATGAGAGCTAAAAATATTGAACCTGCTAATATTAAACTGTGAATTTTGTATCGGGCGGTAACAGACTTTTATGAGCTTAGCGGTCGTATTGTCTTCGCACTTTTGGCCATTCATATTTCTTTATTAATTTAACAATTCTAGACAAATTATGTTGACAGTGACTCATTACTACGCCACAGTGAAGACTTAGGGCAGTGGTTCTTAAACTATTTTGAGCGCGACTTAAATATGTGCTCCCAGAGTCAAATTGCTTCATTCGCAGTTGATTGGGCCTCGAGATGACGCCACATTCTCTCTAGATCATGGGTCGGCGAACTTTTGTCGTTCGCGGGCCAAAATTAAAGTTTGCAAGTCATTGACGGGCCGCACATATTTTAGAAAGTTAAAAACCGAAGGAATGGCCAATGAATCACATTTTTTAGCACAGGTTTCAGTTAAATTTCAAGCAGTGTTTATGTGTTTAAGCTTGTTTATGAAGTAATTGGGTATGGACAAGCCCGATAGAGCTTATTATATGTGCCAAATGCAAGTTTCACTACTGCCAACTGTTAGAAATGAGCGTACTGAATACCATCTGTCTTGACTGCATGGCAAACAACCCTACAACAATTTCTGCACTGTGCGAAAGTTATAGTCTCACTTCGAGAGTAGTGTGATGAATTTTATTCGCAACGGTAGCAGTGGCATCAGAATGCCCATTTTTTTTCTCTAATTTCAAGCGAGCAAAAAACCGGATTTGAAGAAATTGTAAATTAGATACTGAAGTTTGAAATTTAACATTTATGGTTAGATAATACATGAATACTTTTCAAGGTTTTTTGGGGAATTGAAAACACTTACGACTAAAAATTAAATAGGCCCTAGATCTGAATTGTATGATTTGAATAGATATATATATATAAAATAATTGAAAAAAAATTTACTCCGGGTACAATTACATAATCAGATTAACAAGTTGAATTGAGCATAAAAATGCAAATTTCAGTATTCAAAAATTCAGTATTCATTCATTTAAGTTTATGACTTTATTACCGATCAGTCGATCGCGAGCTATTTTGAAGATTTTAGTCAATCGCGGTCGAAAGCAGGTTGGCCACCCCTGGTATATAATGTAGAAGACTGAAAGAGAAAATATAACACTTTAAGTGTAGCTGTATCAACATGGTGTTGAAGATAACTCATCATGTCTGCAGAACGAGAAAGTTTGTTGCGAATATCATTAACATGGTCATCCAAAGAGTAAACGGCTGTACACTTCTAACAAATTTACACTGAACAATAAAAAAAACAGCGATGAATTCTAGTATGGTAATGTTATGGCATGAGTTTATGTTTTTAACTCATTATTCGTTGCTTCACCACGCTAAGAATGTAAATACTATGAACTTTTCACATTTTGCTTTTCCGCTCATCCAGATGCCTTTGGAGTTTGACATAGTTTGTTCTTTCCGTGTCTGCAATAAATACATGCACCACGGCGGCCAAGTCCTGAACATTAAAATAAACATTTTAGTGCAAAAATCAGTTTAGGTCGTCAATGCACCAACTTATTCACACACATATTCAATTCCTTCGCACATTGAAATATATTATTTTGAATGTGGCAAAATTTAGGCTTGTACAGAATAGCTTGTATTTTTTTTACCAATCATAAATTCTTGGCATATAAGCTATATACTACAATTCGTTCCAAAATGAATGGCGTAATTACGCTCCACAGTGCATGTAAAGATAGAAAAATACCATTAAAGTTTGCACACTGGTACTTATATTTGTAGGTTGTTTTTCCATCGCTAAGTTTCACTTTGACCAATTCACAAATGTTTGAAGAACAGTGAGGTTTCCATGCACTTCCCATATGAAGTTGTGCGTTACACGTCTGAAAAGAAAAAAATCATTGTATATACCACAATTCCATCCGTGACAAATCTTCGTTCTCCCCAAAAACAGACATCAGCTATGCTTTCCAAACCAACGCATTTGTGCGAATTCATTAAATCGTCTATCCAAATATCATCTTGATTGATAAATATTGCATGATACCATTCTTCGAACTCGGGTTCCCTATTGATTAAATTGAAATTACAATAATCCTGGCCAAGTCAAATTTGAGCTGATAATATCAGAAAGCAAATTTAGCAAGCGGAATTCTGTTTTTAAGACCAAAGGATCTCGAAAATGTAGCTGCTTTTCTGAAACATTGTTGGAGTGTAAGTAAACACTTTGTAAACGCCATATTCATTAATAGATAACAAAATCAATTGGTGATAACAGATTAAGTATGCAAATTTGAGTTCTTCAGTTTTGAATTTTGAACATAGGCGCTTACCTGTGCTTATTTTGACCGCCTTATATCAAAAAATGAAGTTAAGAGGATAAATTATGCAACCAGAATTAGACTTGAGTGGAAACGCGTACAAGAAGATAACGGGAACTTTTTGGTATTTCTATGGAAGTTGTGAAATAATGATGTGAACACCTAAAATTGCAAAAAATGTAGATACATACCTGTTTATTATAATATATTATGTGTAATAACAAAGTCCCCAAACTTCGCGCTACTTTATTTATGGCAAACTATATTTGAGTTTAGCATCGTCTACTCTAGACTAAATGATGACCACACGATAAGATAGGTGATAAATGGCAGACAAATAAATGACAACGCACAATGAATTGGATTTTTGCTTCAGGCAGTTAGTTCTCTATAGATTAGTTACGACGGCGGCTAGTTCTAACGTAAGTTGTGTATATGTATGGATATTAACTTGAGATTAAGTATATATGTCTAAAATTACTCAAAGAGATTTATTTACCTTGTACAAATCAAACTGTTTGTAATTAGTTTCATATATACCATTCGTATAGCCGCCTGCTATTTTATATTTGAAAAGGGAGCTGTTTCAATCCGATTATAAAAACTAAATATTTAGAACAAGTAGCTGAATCCTACGTTTTAAAATTGTTTCAAGTAATAAAGGGAAACAAAAAAATCAAATGAAAAACAACTTTTCTTTCAAATACTGATTTACATCTGAATTACAGTGTTCAAAAATATGAAAATTATTGTTGCAATTGTTTTGTGCTGGATTTGCTTGAGTTCATGTAAAAAAGGTAAGTTTTTCTAAAAATAACTAAATCTATACTAGCTATTCGCCATAGTCTGTGAACTGTAGCAAAGGTATTCTAATTGGCAAAAAAATTTCCAGAATGTCGCGAAATACAATGAAATAAAAGCTCACTATAACGCAGAGTCGTGAAGCGGTCAGTGCCCAATGCTGCCTACAAATATTCACCCCGTTAACCGTCCAATACGAACAATATTCAGTTGAATACCCGGTCCTCAAACATTTCGTACAATTTTCAGAATACAGCTAGGATTTTATACATAAGGATGGAAAAAATCTCTGTTTTTTAGATACTGAAACAATCGCTTTCGATTTTTCAGTAATGTACTAATCAGCGGCCAAAATAAATGCAGAAAGCCTATTGCATTTTACTATTTTTTTTTTATAAATTTTCTCGTGATCTTATATTTGAGCATTGATCCCATATATTAGTTGTATTCCTATTCTTATCACCTTATTCGAGATAGGGGTATTCTGATATGTGATCGTTTTTTTTTCTTGTTTCAGTTCCGCGGCCACCATGTATCCACAAAATCAATGGTACAAATGGTTTTGTTAAATTTCCCGGAATGCTGTTTAATGACAAAGCGAAGAAAATATTTACAGAAGGGAGAAAAATGAGAGGAATTTGTATCATACACGGAAAAATACCAGAAAATAATGATTTGATATTGAAAATACGCCCGTCAGTTGCCCACCAGAACTGGATATCGGTGCGTCCAATTCTGTTTGCTTTGTAACAATAATAGAAATAACAAGGGAGGAGTCTCTGTTTGTTTGCCATTTATCTTATGAACCTATTTTTGAAATTCGACGATAACACATTTATGCAGGTCATAGAAATTAGTAATCGAAACGTAAAATAACAATAACTGAATTCGGATGTTAAACAGTTCCATTCCAAACATTTCCGAAAATGGAGTTGAGGCTCAGGTATAGTATAATTTTTCCTTCTTTTTACTCCGTTTCCGTTTGTTTATCTGTTAGAACCCCAGTTATCGTATTTCGTTTCTGATACGCAATTACATATTGGAAGCAATTTAGCTTCCAACTGGTTTCCGCACCTTTTGAATAAGTGATATAGAAATTGTGCTACGCAATTTTTTACCAACACTCTGGTCGCAACTAAATTGCACTCTGATTGAAAAGGGGGGTTTCAGTAGACGATACAATGAGTTGAACTTTGTTTTCAGGTTGGTGGAAGGATTTCAGAAAACGGCACTTGGAAAAATATGGTCATTTTCCAATATAATGATCAAGGATCATTTGATACGTACGCAGACCATCAATATCGTACATTTGCAAGAGATGGTGAATATGGGACAAAAGACATAATGGTCCCAGGATACAAATTTGGCCATGTAAGAATTGTCTTCCCACGAAAAAAGACAAATTTGGCAATTTCATACTCGTGGACTGATACCCGTAAGTTTATTTTCATATTTTATGCTAGATATGTCATACGTTTCACAGATAACTACAAAAGTCGGAAGTATTTGTCAAAACACCACAAAATTGTTATGCTATAATTAATTGGATTTGAAATGTAGATATGAATCGTTTTGATATTATGCTGTTGAACACGAAGTGTAAGGATGAAACATTTTTTTATGTTGTTGTTAATCGTGATGTTGGTATATTTCTTCATGCTGTGAAGAAAATCGTTGTTCTCAATAACTAATCGACCAATCGCTTTGAAATTATGGTTAAACATTGTATTTTTTGTGGGAAGGCTATAACTTTTATTTATTTCCAAAATTTGTGTGGCGTCCATGAAATTCGTTTTTTTTTGGCTTGCGATGACGTCATCAAATTTGAAAATTGCTGTTCTTGTGACGGTTCCTCTTTTGCGTAAATGGATTTTTGGAGATCTACTGCGGTACGTTACCGGTAGACTACTGTAGCAGATTGCATACCTACTCGGGTGTCTACATATTTGAGCACCGCTCTCTTGTTTTATTCATCTTGTTATTTTTTTTTTCTTCTTCTTTTTCTTCTTTTTAATCCGCCAAGCGTGACGGCTTACTTGTGTTTTGTTTTTGCAACTTCTTTCTGCGCGCTAGTCGAGAGTTTTTCGATACCACTGTAGGAAGGCACGATACTGTTATTTAATTGAAAGGTAAAGAAATGTTGATGATTTTATATTACAGTTGTGAGTCAAATCATTCAGCATTTAATTCACGTCGGCAAAAAACTAATGAATCATCATCTTCATGGGACATGGTTTGGGTAAAATATTTCGTTTTTGCTTTCGTGTCCTTTTCTTTAAGCATTGCTCTCTTGTTTCTTTTTGCGTTGGCATCCTTCTTATCACGTCAATACTGATATGCATCGAATTGAAAAAAATCAAATTTCAAAATCAGTATTAGTATAAAATTATTCTTTCTAATCAATTTGTTTGTATCCGCCAGAAAAAAAGTGTTTTATTCGGATTTCCGAAATGCGTCATGATTTTTCAACCGCAAGTTACCAAACCGGGTAATCTAGTCTGAAAATCTAAAGTCTAATCTAAACTGAAAATTCACGTTTAGCCTGAACTGACGTAGGTTTGGTTGTTTCTAGTGCGTCATACAACTTTTCGTGTTTTCTGGCTCTTATATAGCAGCATTTCTTTCTCAGCCACCGACATTCGACACCCATAAGCACACCTTCATTCTGTTACATTTTCACTGCGTGCAACGAAAGCACGAAGCTCTTGCGTCAACATCATTTGTGTCTTTGTCGTGGCTGCTATCTTTTTTGATCTAATATTCAGCTGTTTTAATGGTGTTTTGGTCGGATTCTTCAGTACAGAACATTTTTCGGGTTTTATTTGTCGCCAAGTCATCAGTTTTTTGAGAGACTCACAATGCGTCCAAACTGATCAATATCTTGATTGATATATATATATATATATATATACGAAGGTTTTTTATGCATAGAACACTCGATGTCCATCCTATGGGAGATTCTTGTCGGCTACCAATTTCTGTGTGTAAGGGTATTTTTACTAGGTCTGTGTGGCATGTGTTATGGGTTTTATGGACGTTTAAACATTTTGAAATAATTTTTTGTCGGATGTCAGTGTTTTCGGTGCGTGATTTCCGCCAAGAAAGAGTTAAACCGCGGGATTATACTCAAAATAACCCCGGGATCGGATTTGAGAAAAAGCCGAAAATCCCGGGATCGCAACACCAATTTCCACAATCTATGCTTTAAGGATATTTACTTTACTTGAAGGAAAAGCCTGTAAATCGTTGACTGACATAGCTGACATAGTAACGTGTACTGATAGAAGAAAGGTGAATTCAAAATGCACATTGAAGTGTAAGACTGGATCCGCTCCTTCACCGATATTATATAAACTAGCCGGAGATGGAATTAAAAAGAAACTTCCTCTAATGTCGACAACTTGCCGGTGATCTTACTTTTATGAAATTTAAATTTAATGCTCCGATATTTTACATTGTTCTGCATTTCACATTTTGATATTCAACTTTGTTCGAGCCACAGACTTACAATAAAAGTGCAAAAGATTGAGTTTTAAATTTAAATATACCGGTATAGAAGAATGGTGTATCACTTGGGGTATGAAAATATCTCCTAGTAAATGTTCAGCTGTGTTATTTAACAACAAAAGAAGAAATACAGAAATTAAGTTACAAATTGGAGGAGTAAATATAACAATACTTGACAAAGTAAAATATTTGGGCATGATATTTGATAAGAAAATGACATGGAAAGAACATATAGAAAATATCGTAACAAAAGCAGCGCAGAGATGAAATATTATGAAATATGTTAGTGGTTCCAAATGGGGATCACAATTACACACAATGCTACTATTATACCGCTCCCTAATTTGCGCGTTGTTTGATTATGGAACCCAAATCTACAGCACAGCATCAAAAACATTGCTAACAAAATTGGAACCAATACAAAATCAAGCCCTTCGCATTTGCATTGGAGCTATGAGAAGCAGACCAATGGATGCAGTATTGAATGCATGCTCAGAAACACCTCTGGCATTAAGAAGAAAACAATTATGCTTGAATTACCGATTAAAATTACAAAACTCGGTTCAACTTACCTCAGCAGAAGTACTTGAAGAATCCTGGCAACATGAATATGCGGGAAATAAATTTGTATCATTCAAAACTATAACAGAGCTTGAAGAAAATGACTTGTCAAAACCTGAAAATAAAGAACAAATAAAACTATATATACAAGAGAGATGGAATATACAATATAAACAGAACATATCAGAACTATACTATAAAAGAGTATTTCCGGAAATATTATCAAATTACTTTTACTATGCTTACCAATCTGATAATCAAAACAAAACTGACAGCACAACTGAGTTGTTGACAAGCGGTTCACGCCATGACGACAAAAATCGCTGTAGCGAATCGGTAAAGTGTGTGCAATTTTACTGCAATAGAACATAGAGATATATAAATAGAGTGCGCTTCTCTCTCGTTTCCGCGGGATCATTTGAACGCTCTCTCGTTTTGACGATATGCTTCCAACTTTTCCTAGTCGCGTAATGCATTTCTTATGGGATTTGACAGAAATCAATTATTTGCGTCAATTTTTCTCACATATTCTCCTGATCATGACTCGTTTCTCATTATATATCAAACGCTAATATATCCCAGACCAACATACGGTGCTAATTTTGGCAGTTTTATAAATTTGCTCAAGTTGTGGTTAATAATATAGCCAACATATCAGTCTAAACTAAAGCGAACAAAAACGACCACAGAACATTAGCCAGGATGTCTCATCGGAATCGCTTCCCCGTTCACCTGTATTTGGCCATGTTTTACCACCTCAAGTATTTTGCGTGGCGATATCAATATCATTGCGTGACCTGGTTCCGTAGTACGCGAGCTATGAATAAATATAAATAAAACTGAAGGGCGCTCTAGTAATGTGTGTATCAATGTGGAGGTAACTAATATAGTTCGCCTACTTTACATCAAGGTGTGTAAAGGGACCGAAGGACATATTCACTTGGCTAACACACACAGTACCCAATATCGTAATAGAACTAAAATTTAAAAAAAAATGGGAATAAAGGTATGGCTTAACCCCAACCTAGTACACAGACTACGGGAGCTGCGCTTCGCACTTTACCCAAGACTAGGGTGAAAGTTTCCTTGTGGAGGATATTGCATTTTTATGATATCAGGCAAAAAGAATTGTTTCTACTTATATTTATTGTGTAATCGCCTGAGCAATCAATTTTTTTTAGGACGAGATCTACATCGGACTCTAGATTCGGAACTCGAATATAATTGTATTTGAATACCCACACAGTGTCGCATATACATCCATATGCGGCGCACTGGGTACTAAAATAGACGAAATACTCGCCAAAACCATATGCAACACGAAGCATAAGCATAAATGCCAAGATGGCGGCGATCATCAAATGATCCCGTGGCGAGATAACGCAAAACGAGAAAGAAGATTGTTCCATGTATTTCCAGTTCAATGCAATAGAATAGTAGAATAGTGCATGAGCACATATATATATATGTTCATTGAATAGTGTGAAGTGTTTTTTTTCACAACATTTGCATTTGAGTGACATATTTTCCATTGTTCAGCACGAAATGCTATTTTACGAAGTGCTTTATATTTATCCTTTTAATAAATAAAAAAATACCGGTATATATATCTATAGTTCTATCTAACTTCACAGGAAAAATACCGAAATATTGCTGTAATGCAAGTTACATCTATTATGTGTGGTATATACCGTATATTGCTCTTATCCGAAGGATATTATAGATTCAGCTCATGCAACCTTACTAAAAAAGAACATTAAGGGAAGCAGGGGTCAGCAACCTACGAGAAAAAGAGCATGCCTCGGTGCGTTCCACTGAATTATAAGGACCAACTGGCCCGCTTTACATTTTAATAATGATTCGACCGCTCTAGAAATATTGAAAATCACATTTAAATAAGATAAGACAGGAGAGCAAAGCTTGAATATATGGATACGAAAGTCCAATAACTAATCGCAGTGTCGGTAGCCTACGTGTAAGGGGTTTTAATGACGTGTGAATGTCAGAATCGTTTTATGGAACACAAACACATGTGTCTGACACTTGGTCGTACTCCAGAAAGCTCTATTTTGTGTCTTGTTTGTGCTTATTAAATGTTATTCTGAGTAGTGTAATTTGGAGTTTTCGTAATGAAGTATTGCATTGTGATTCAGCGACCAATGTTCACATCAATTTTAAATGCTCTTCCATCTGTAATTTATAAGTTGATAGCAATAGTGAGATATTTGTGAAATTTTTTTTATCAGAAGCGATTCAAAAGTTATGTGAATCCTACCCAGAGTTCTATAATGAGTATTGCATTACTTTACCGTGTGAAAGAGCCATATGCTAATTACTTCAATAAGAGAGCTATATTCAAAACATTTTTAATTAAGTGATTTGAGAACTCTTGAAGCTAATATGATGGATTTGTCGGAAACATTTATTGACGCTTGTATTTCAGGGGACATTCTTGATAGCCACTAGATTGGCGGATTTTTACTAACTTTCGCTCTTCAAAATATTTTTTGGTAATGTCCAATTCAGATATGATCCACCGGATGGCGCGTCTAAACTCCAATTGTTTATGAGCGGATTGAATTATCCAAAATACCTATGAACCCGTCAATGAACATAATTGAGGTTACCGACGAAACGTTTGCCACGTAATATTCAAATAATACACACCGGTCTCTCGAATGGCGCATGGTCTGTTGACATATCATCATCACGACTCCACCTTGCGTGGCTGTTGGACTCTTTTTGTTTGCAGTTTGGTTCACATAAGCAATAGTTTGTAAGCTTTTCAGGCATTCAAGTCCATGCGTCTAAAACGATGGAATGGTTCCAGACCTAGGTGTCATTCACCAATTTTAAAAAATATTCATCGTATGAGGAAATAAACCATCAATTATACCCACCACCAATATCAGAATTTATTTTGATATTTCTGACATGCTTTACAATACGTACCATTTGAGCATAGTTAGCTGAATATGGGTTGCTCACGCTACTTTCGTTATATTTTATTTATGTTACACTGTTTTCTCGATACGCCTGAGTGGGTCTGCACTGTCTTCTTTCAGCGCGATTTTGTGCTGCGTGTAATCCAGCTGTTGCCGATGGAGTATGGATGCCAATACCTATCACACAGTTTCAGAATAAAGCTGTAAGCTGGTAATCAATTAAAAACGAAATATGGTATTGCACGATTAACGTGTAATGACTGGAAGTTTACAGCTGTGGGCACACACGGTACAGCTATGATATAGTCCATGTGCACAAAAAATGAATTCTGGAGTTGTTGCATTTTAGCAGACATAATGATCTATGGATCTACTGGCAGGCTGGCAAAACTATTAAAAAATATTTTGATTTACAACAGTACTTTGGTATCTGACCAATAATTAGCTCCTGATTTTTATTGTGACTGAAAAACTCCATCCGTTAATTCAATATATTTACACCAAAATCGTACCCTCTTCAATTTTCCCTCATCCCTCAGTGATATTGCAATAAACCAAAATCGTTGGCATTAAATGTAAACCTCGATCAATGGATAATATAATTTTCCATTTTCAAAAATTTGATTAATACAAAATAAAACCCGAAACATCAGATTACTCCACCTATAGTTTTAATATCAGTATCTTGGTATTACTATCAAAGTAGAAACACCAGAAGAATGAATATCTCTTGAATGACTTCTTAATAATTGTGTGTGAGTATGTGTGTACATATGAATAACTGCCTACCTGTATATAGACATGTCTGCCTGTCATAACTATAAAATGAATTTCTTGTACAATTGTTGAAAGTTTGTATGTTGATCCCTTTAATAAACCAGTAGGCTATCTGCAATACAGCAATACCTTTCCGTTAATTTTTCATTCTCTTCACATGTTATGAGTGTTCTGTTTCATATTGCAGTCGCACTAGATCAGTAACCGTCAATACCAATTTTCCATCACATTGTCCTTTTTCACATCCTAATTCAGTTGCTTGAATTTCATGTTTTATTCCAGTAATCTCAAATTATTCTATTATCTCATTTTGCTGCCATACTTAATACCAATCTAGATACAAACGCTGGAAAACTGTTTCCTCCGAGGCATGTCATGTGAAACAATCTGCTAACATCAGTATCCTCGGATGAGAAACTGTCTGAATATGGGATGAGCTAAAATTAAATTAGAGTATCATTAGCTACTTACGTAGGCCCTGAGAAGATCTAGATTTTTACTACTGTGTTATAATCCTGGTATAAAGGTAGAATACTACTCTGTCAGCATTTAAATGCAATCATAGAACAGCAGAATCTTGGAATCGCTCTGCCAACACTCCACTTTAATAACTTAGGTATCGTACGGACGCAGAGATGACTGGCGATTGCTACGACATCATACTTTATCCCAATGGCTCAGTTTATCTTCCTAGTCATTTCCATTAGTAAAACCATTCCAAATACGCTGATAAATAGCAAACGAAATTTACTTACCTAAGCTACAAGATATAACAAAATGTTGACGTGTACAGTCCCACTCCAGCGTAGCGAAGCGGCCATGAGCGAGCAATATCAGAGTCGCAGTTCTTACTATTTCATGGCAGCTCCTGCCACGAAAGAACCGCGGCGTCTCTTGCGCTATTACCGGTATATTCACAAAGTCATGTACCAGATATTAGTTTATCATGCAGAATTATATCAACTTAAACCTGAAACCTAACTCCAAATCCATCAAAACTGTAGATAAGAAAAAGTGCTTCAACTTACCCAATATTTGTCACCATCGGGGGCAGCCCTGCCATTACAGCCGACATGCCTTGGTTACGGCAGCAAAATTTCACTCGCCATTGGTTTTCAATTTGCTGCCGTAGTTCCGCCATCTCGCCAATCGCCATTGGTTTGTGGCAGCTAAAAGTCAGTCGCCATGATTTGGCCATAGCGGCCATAATTTGAGAACCCGTTATGGTTTTGCGGCAGCTTCAGACGCCACAAAATACTTAAAACTGCACTTGCTATATTAAGGCAATTATGATTTGAGAATATATGCAATATACCTCGATCATTGCCAAAAGACACTAAAATGAAAGTACGACAAGTCGCAGGCACTTTCAAAATTCCAGTTATAGTAATATTTCTAATTTAGGCTTCATCGTATCCATTTATTTACAGGGGAAATGGTTTTCAGCCGCCTGACTGGTTTCCTAACATTTCATCAACCTACTACCAAACGATCGTCGATGGGAACTTCCGTAGGTTCATTAAGAGACAGCTGCTTCCGACACTGAGAGTGTAAGAAAAATAGTTGCGATTATTGATATCATTTTTTCATAAATAAATCAAAATGTAATTTCTTTTTATATAAATCATTGAATAATTAATAAGAATCAAAAAATAGTCCGACAATCAAAATTTCATACCATAATTAATTGTAATTTCAATTTTAATTACTAGGGAACCCGAGGTGGAAGAATGGTATCGTGCAATATTGATCCATCCAACTGTTTTGGAGTTTTCGTATGAAGATTCGATGAATTCACACAAATGCGTTAGTTTGGAAAACATAGCGGATGTCTGTTTTTGGGCAGAGCCAAGATTTGTCACGGATGGGATTGTGGTATAAATTATTGTGGGACTAAAGAAAGTTGATAGTGCAAAAATATAAATGGAAAAAAATGCATGTAGAAACTTTAAATCTCTATTTGGGTAAAATGAACTCATTATCACTAACACATAGTATAGACCTGCCACGGGCAAACTACGGCCCGCGGGCCAAATCCGGCCCGTTAATTAATCTGACCCGCCTGGTGCTGCAACAACCAAGCTAAAGCCAAATTTTGAAGTTTTAGCAAAAAAAAAGCTTGAGGAATTTGTTGAGATTGCGATTAAATATAGTTTTATCACTAGGCTTATTGTTTCCCACGTTTGCTTTTGTAACACTATAAATATTGTTCATAAAATGTACCTTATTATGTCACACTTACATGGCCCACCAGTCTAGAGGGGCAAATTTATGGGCCCTGGTCCAAAAACCTTTCTCACCCCTGGTATAGACTCACAGGCACCCCCGAAGTATGTGCACCAAGATGGCGCACAACCTGAACTCTAACCTGGTACACATACTATGTTCATGTTTCGCGCCATCTTGGTGCACATACTTCAGGAGGTCCGACTCACATACTTACAAGTGTATAAAAAAAATTTCCTGTTCGTTTTATACTAACTGTTTTACGAATCTTTGTATACTCGTATAGCCCAAATCATCTCAACTCACCATTTTTTGACTTCCAATTGCCAAACAAAAGTATGTTTTTTCTTGTACCAGCCTGAATACATTGTGTAATAATTAAACTATTGTATAGAATTCTTGGGTCGACAGTTGCGACTATCCAATTGATTACATTCTGAAGTTATTCGGCGAAGATGGAGACACTGGAATTGACCCAGACACAATTCCCGTTCCAACTAAACTAACACCAAAGGATCGAATTCTGCAAATGGATTCCGAAGAAGCAAAATTGCAACTTCTTTGGAAATTGATAGAGCAAAGAGAAATGTATTTCAAATGTGTTACTGAAAGCGGACAGGTGACAAAAATTACCATTTTTGACTATGTATATACTTACCTCCATACCTAAATAATACAGACGAAATGTTGTACTTTAGGATTGCATAATAGATGAGTACGAAGATCTGTACAATGTTTTGCGAAAACAAGTTACCACCTCTAAGGTAGACAGTATTTGGGATGAATTCAGTGGACAAGTAATGAATGTAGGTCATTTTATGTGTTTCTCTATTTTGACTTCCAGTGCTGCAGTATTGGTATGCAGTGGTGTTTTCAAAATCTTGTTAAATATATTCAAAATATTTGAACAAAGCAATCGAAATTTATTAACAATAAGGGAAACGATTAATACGACGATTTCATTTAACGACGAGCTTTATATTTTCGGCATTGGCATAAAAAGTAAAAACTATCTTCAAACTGCCACTCAGAAATAACAAAAATGTGCTGGATTTTGAAAAAAGAAAACTAAATCCAACTGAAAGATTAACAATACAGATTCATCAAATCGATTCATAGGTCTACTTCATGTTCCATTTTTCATTAATATGCTCACAGCTCTTGTATTGACCGATTCAAAACGATAATAAAGACGAAATTTAAAATCATTGAAGTATATGTTAATTATCATTGTGCATTATGCGCCTGCAAAATACAAATATAGTCCCTGTCGCTTGGTAATAAGGGTTCGTTCGCCCGTTTGCGAATCGGTCCCGCAAAAGTTATTATTCCATGAAATAGCAAGTCGTTTCTTCTGAAGCTGAAATGCCAATTTCTATGACTTTAAGATCTAATCACGACAAAAGGGCATCAGCCTATATTGATAAAGTATTTTTCCGAATTAAATACAGGACATAAAATAATTGTGCGTTTATTACACTAAAAAGTAAAAAAAAATAACCCACTGAACATGTCACATTATGAGCAACCCTTATTCTCAGATCGATACTTCAAATCCAGGCTCGACTAACCTTTTAGTTGGAAATGACATAAATATTTTCTATTATTGCAACTGGAGAGCAACGCACAAATCTATGAACACAATTGTAAAACAATGGGCCCTGGATTGCGCCGAGAAACTAAGCAAAATATAAGCAAATGGTATTTTTAGCAGACAATTTCATTTGGAATATTCGAAAAATAACAAGCTATGTCATGATTTGTTGTATATATTCTACATTTCATGGTACAATATTTCTGAATAATTTATACAATGTTATTTTTTTTCTATACAGAAATGTTACCCTACACATGGTATTGAAAGTGGACGTAGAAAACCTCATTGTTCTTCCAACATTTGTGAATTAGTCAAAGTGAAACTGAGTGGTGGAAAAACATCGTACAAATATAAGTACAAATGTGCAAGCTTTAGAGGTATTTTTTTTAAACTTCACAAGCACTGTGGAGCGTAATTATGCCATTCGTTTTGGAACGAATTGTAGTATCTTATAATATAATTATGTGCCGGCTAAAACTGGATTTTTTATCATTTCGAGGCAAATTTTTATTTTAAAACAGTTTACAAAGAGGATAATTTGAGTTTTTTTTACATTTGAAGTAATGTCGTGACTTGCAATATAAACAATCAGCTTAAATATCAAGAATTTTCAAATTTATGATCGGTAAATGAATACAAGTTTTAGATAAGCCTCAAATCTTGACTCAGTTAAACTAATAATATTGCTTTGGGTGAAGGAATTGAACATGTGTATGAACAAATTGGTGGATTGACGAACTAAACTGATTTTGGTACTAAAATGCTTATTTTAATATCCAGGACGTGGCCGCCGCGGTGCGTGTATTATTTGCAGACACGGAAAGAACAAACTGTGTGAAACACCGAAGGCATCTGGATAAGTGGAGAAGCAAAATATAAAAAATATGACTTTATGCCAAACTCACTCATAACGCTACTATAATAAAAGTCATCGCTGTTTTCTTTTGCTTAATAAATACATTGTTCAGTGTAAATTTGTTAGAAGTGTACCGTTTACTCTTGGATGTCCATGTTAATGATACTCGTACCAAACTTTCCCGTTCTGCAGGTAATGCGAGTTATCTTCAACACTATGTTGATACAGCTACACATAAAGTGGTATATTTTCTCTTTCAATCTTCTTTACAGTTTATACAGGATTATGATAGCGTAGATGTAGGATAGGGATACGCATCTCAATCAATTTTGCATGGAATCAAAATGCGACAGTTTAGAGCAGTGGTTCTCAAACTTTTTTAGTCCCAGAGCCGCATTTCAGACCTCAAAGTTATGAAGAGCCGCACAAATACAACGCAAGGTAAAATAGCAGCAAACCTTAAGCGCGTATTTAAAATACCAAGTCATCGTAACAGCAACACACGTAACAACTAGGTCTGGGCAAAATATTCGAATAATAAAATATTCAATTGACATTTTACTATTCGAATATCCGGTACCACGTGACCTGCACCGCTCTGCTTGGACACCGAACTCGCGCGTCTCCAACTCAATCGTGATTTGTGCGAGATTTCACAACGGCGCTCGCTATCAGAAAAAAAAAAATCGTTGTCTTTGTGTTATGGCGTTATATGCTTATCTTTGCACCTAATTAACGTATCGTTTCAAATCATTATTTTGCAAAAAAAAAACGTACCGACCGTTCCGTAAATTTATAAACATCAAACCAGATTAGGTATTTAAAATAATTTCTCAGATTTTAGACTCCGCATGCTTGGTGTCATGTCATTAGCCGTTTCTTGCATTACCGAACATAAAGTTGATTGAAATTAAATGTTAAAATAACTTTTAGGCGTTTCATTGTGAAAAAGGCTATTTTAGGTCGTTAGAAAACTCTAGTTAAGTAAATAGCATGGATTTAAAAATGACCAAAAGATTTTTCAAAAGCTGGTATGAGTTACTTGTATGAAAAATACTCATTAAGTTGTAACCAGATTAGAAATGTCATGTCCTACTATCTTTAAAGCACTTTGTATTAGCTCTTAATGGATCCCTTCCATCCTTGGCCAAGTAATGTTTTGAATATGTAACATCGTAATCGACCATGCATGGCCGTTGAGCCAGAAGTAGAACGTAAAATCAAAGTGAATTTCGTTGTGACAATGCACACTGAATCGTTCACGAATTGTTGCGTCTATTATCATCGAAAATGATTACAATTGGTAAATTTTGAAGCATTGGGTGGTAATAATTAAGCCTTAAAGCATGACATAATCAAAATCATTAGGTGAAGTGCTGAATTTGCAAATTCCGTAGAGAAAATTGAGCATTACTCAGTAAGTATTTTAGCTATAATAACCATCGGGGTGATGTTTTGTTGAAAAATAAAATGTTAAAACTTGAAGGAATGAGGTATAATTAGCGTCTGGCCCTCTATTAGGCACGAAGGCTTAGAAATGCCTTTATTGCCAATTTATTTAATCGCTTTTTTCAAATCAACACTCAGGATTCACGCAATCGTAAATTTGCTAGGTTTATCTATCTAATACTAAAATAACACGAACACCATAGAAAAGCATGAGAACTCAATTATCCTTTAAATATCTGCATTTCGGTTACCGTTCACTTTAAACAGACACGTTTAGTTTACAAGCGGTGATAAGGAAGATCAAATCCAAGGCAGAGGATAAAACTCAGTATAAAATTAATTTGGTGTTGAAATCAGCCCTTAATGTATTCAACAGCTGTCGCTGATGTGAACGCAAGGGGATATTAGAAATATGAAAATTCGAAATTCGCCGACCGCTTATTCTTGCAAAAAACGAGAAAGGGCGAGAATATAGAATACCAACTTTAGGATATCGCCGCCAAAACGATCGTAGTGACAATCAGCGAATATGATATAATCAACCATTAACCAGTAAAAAAAACGCTTTTTTGTCGACTTTTCAATGTTTCTATCAATTTCTAAATGGTGTATCGAATCGACCTCCGACGTTCTGGATCCCTGTTATGTATAAAAAATATTCAAATTATTCGATTCGAAAAAAGATTCGATTTTGCCCGCCCTAGACTAACAGCCATCTAATTCAGCTTTGATTTCTAATAAGTTTGTCAAAGCGGGTCGTAATCGTGGAGGATGCAAAGTGCAGTAGCTGCTTTAGATGATCGCCAGATATTCCGGGACTATTTTCGATTACTGGAATAAAATTAAAATACTCTAGAATTAAAATAATCATTGAGTTATTTGATTTATGCATAATATCCGGGAATGCGACAAACACTGAAAATCCACGGAAGCAAGCCAATGATTACAGCCATGTCTAAAATCTTTCCAAGTGAAAAGTGTCCGAGTGGCCGTGAAAACGCTCACTGTTGCGTCACTATTGCATCTTGTAGGTTAGTCAACGCTACGCAAATAAACACGGGGGAATCCATTCGACTAATAGACCTCAGCATTTTAATTTCGAGTCGATGATTAGTTTTCAATGAACATTTTTTTTGAAAATAATTAATTTTTAAAGCATTAACGAGAGCCGCAGGAAAGGTTGTTGAGAGCCGCATGCGGCTCTCAAAACCTAGTTTGAGAATCACTGGTTTAGAGCCTTTAAAACTCTTCGTCGGTCTTCCGCTGGTTTGAACCTCAACATAATTTATAACATAACCACCATTCTAAATCTTGCAGATATTCATAAATTTGAGTTCTGTCAGCTCATACACAAATATTAATCATTGTCTTCACATTGCATTTGATTGCTATTTCAATAGACAAACTAACATTCACACATGCGGCACAAGATTAGTCCCCATTCCCAAATGCTCATTCTATTTACCTCAACTTAGAATTGCTTCAAATACAAGGGGATGAAAAGTGTGAAATAATATATATATACCCTATGATTCCCCCCAGCATGTTTGTTTCAGTGAAACCCACACTTATTTAGAAATAATAATCGAATCAAACGGCCAATTAAATCCATCTAATTTCTCTACATTGGATTTATAACATATGAGGTAACTGTGATTATCGCAGCTGAGTTACGTCTTAGGCTCCACATAGTCATCGAATTAAGCATCAACAGAAAGAAGAAAAGAAGAGCAGAATAGAAACCATGGTCACTCATGCATAAAAATAGTAGCCATATGATTTCTGAATACATCAATAAACGGGTGATATATGTATATATTATCTCTGAAACTACTTCAAATATAGACTGGTCGACCATGTGCTGGGAGACAGAATAGAAAACAAGTCGAATGATCATTATATCGGACGCTTTGAAGTCAACAGCTTGAATTGATCATATAAAGCAATCAATTGTTTCAATTCCCTCTTCAATATAGTACGTCATACTACACCTGCATGCGTTAAAGCAGTGTTACCCAATCTATGGATTGCGACCCAAGGCGCCTAAAATTATTGTTGAATCCCTTTTTTCTTCAAATTATACTAAACTAAGGTTATTGATTTATTTTCTAGTGAATTTTATTGTTTATTTTGCTTTTGGTATTGCAGTGTTGCTCAATAGTAATTGTATTTATGCGAACTATTACAAAGTAAAAATTTGACAGAGGATTCGGATTCAGCCTCTATTTTGTGTAAGATGGGTTATCACGGGAATTATTTTTATTAAATTTTGAAATCTATATATTTTTTCAGAAATTTTGAGCTTTTCCGTTCACAAAGAGTCGACTTAATTTATACTTACGAATTTAAATTAGTAATTTATGGTAGCTATGCCACAGTTCTAGCTTCGTTCATGATATGATTTTCGATGAAATTGTGGGAAGAAAATTTCGTTTTGGCTTTCGGGACCAGATGTTTGAGCATTGCTTTTTCGTTTGAAAAAAAAAACGTGTTTTGGTTTGTGCGTTGAAACTTTTATGCCTTCACATAAATTCTCAAGTATATGCTATGTAGACACTAAGACCAAAACGATTTTTTCTTACCAACAATTCCCCGAAAATCATATGAGGAACAAAGCTGGAACATCTACGATTTTACGGTAACATACAAGTACCTGTATCAGGGTACATGGTCCTGATCTTTCCCATGTCATGCTTCCAGTTTCAACGTGAATTGACGTGCCGAATGATTAGAGTCACAATAGCATTATCAAATCTTTAACAGTTCCAGTATCGTGACGTAGCCTACTGTACCCCTTAATGAAAAACCTTCACTTACGCTTAGCATGAGATCAGCTGACATGATGTCGCGAAATCGCTACAAGTAACATCATTTTTAATTTAGTTGACGTCACCACACAAGACTTCGAATAAAAAGCGAATCACACAGAAGTGCTTGAAATAAATAAAGTACAGTAATAGCTTTCTAGCGACAACGCTAATTTTTCACCATTAAAAATTTCAAAGCAATTAGCAAAAAGCAAGCAATTAGGTTAACGAAAAGTGATTTTTCAAAATGACAAAAATAAAACAACATAATAATCGTGTTCAATATATGCCTTAGGTTAGGCTGAAGATGCATGAAGTCGTAAATTTCGGTTTTGAAATAAAACTGCATACTTAATAATCTAATCTCCCTAATATTAATAGGAGATTCAGTGAGAAGTTGCTAAATAAACTATCAAATGCTTTTTTGGTTTCTGGTACGTATTATTACACACGAAAAATGAAATTCCACATATATACTTACATTTTGCAATTTTGAAAATATTCATAGGTATAATCTGGATTGAATTTGGACAAAAATTTCGTATAAGTTTCGTAATGAAGCAGCACCAGTAAACTTTGGTATGTAAAATATAGCTGTAGGAGCTTTGAATAACGGAAGTAGACACCTAAAATTGAAAAAAAGTGTGGATAATATACCCATTTAATATATGTGTAATATCGAAGTCCTCAAAATTTGCGCTACTTAATTAATGGAAAAGTTCATATTTGAGATTTGTATATTCTACCTTATACTAACTGATGACTAGACAATAACATGGTGGTAAATGAACAAACAATTGACACACAACGTCTACCATAACATTTGAACATTTTTGCTTCAGGCAGTTCTATACGACAACTAGATCCAGCGTCAGGTGTTCTTACATATATATACCTGCGAATAACAAGTACATATGGTTAAAATTACGCCAAAGAGATTTACGTTCGCGGATCAAACTGTTTGTAATTTACAGTATATATAATATATACCTTTCATATATCGGACTGTATAAATCCGTTTTTTGATATAAATCTGTATCATTTATCGTTCCCTGCGTGTAGTATGCAGGTTGAAATGATATCACAGTTGAACGATTTTTGATAAATAGCAAAGCTGTAAAACAGTAAGGTGTACAAGAAAGGCGTAAATGGTATAAATTGATAGCACAATCGAATACAACACGCGAGCATAAAAGCATAATTTTAAATATTTTTTCTGTGTTTTACCTCGCTCTTCACAATAACCATCTCGTTGTATCATTCATTTAGTGATAAACATTCACTATGGTCGAAGTCAGATTTTGTTCGTTTTGTTATAATGCAATTTAAGTGTCATTTGTGTATTAACTTTGAAAAGGGAGCTGTTTTGCCGATTGTAAAAACTGGGTATCTAAAGTACTAATTGGTAAATCACACGTTTTGAAATTGTTGATAGTAAGATAGAACAAAAAAGCAAATAAAATTTTTTTTTTGATTTCAAATACCCACTTACGTTTAAATTACAGTGTTCAAAAATATGAAAATCATTGCTGTAATTGTTTTGACTTGGATTTGCTTGAGTTCGTGTAAAAAAGGTAAGTTTGTTTAAACATTTATGGAGAATAATTATGGCAATAACCATTAATCAATTGTGGTGTCATAGCGTGCATGATGGCATAGGACAAGGCTTACATACGTGCTCCAGGTGGACCCGCGGAGGTCCAGAGTGCGATTTTGTTGGGTCCACAGATGGAGTGCTAATTTTCGGTTGGTAAATTGGATCTCGATGCTTGTAAATGATAACAAACAGCCACAGCCACAAGGTCCTCATTGAAACTGAATTTATTTAAAACAAAATTCTTGATTTGGGTACTAGAAAACACAGGCTTGTCCATGGGACATATTTTTCTGTCCCATTCCCAACCCATCTCATAGCAATTATGCCTGTCCCATCCCATGGGATTATCATTAAAATAAAATTCAATAAAAATTGCTAAATTTAGGTTTAGCGTCTACTAAATAGGACAATATGTGCGAATAGACATGCAAAACAACAAAATTTACGGACTTTGTTAACTTTATATTCATATCTATTATACATGTGTCCATCACCCCCTACACTAAGTATATTGTTAATGCTGAAAATAATTTGCCTATTATAAGTAACAAGCGAGCTATGCTCAAATATATGGACACGAAATTCATAACGAAATGTTTTACCATCATTTCCTGTAAAATCATACGGTTTTCGTCTCCCACGTGTCCCATGGGAAATATAAATGTGGGCTGTCCCATCCCATCTCATGCATTTTTCTTATTTTAGTTTAGAGTTCGGGGACTAGCCAAGTTACTCCCGTAGTATTTGTATCTGAAATTATGGCCTAACCCTAACCTGCTACACATACTACGTTCCGGTGTCCGCCATCTTGGTTCACTTACTGCGGTAGTCAGGGAGTACCAACTTTGTATCCAAACCAAACGAATATCAAACCCGACAAGCAAGTTCTTAGAAGAGAACTGAAATGTTATACCTAGGGATAGAAAAAAATCGCTATTCTTTATATTTACAAAATATTTGCAGATCGCTTGCGGTAGAGGTAGAAATTAATGCTAAAAGTCTATTGCTTTCATTTTTGTGAACTTCCATCAGCAGTCGTGATGTTATGTTTGAGCATTTATCTCATCTTTTAGTTTTATGCCCATTCTAATCGCCTAATTCGAGGTGTGTCAATTTTTGATTGATCATTATCCTTTTTAGTTCCAGCTCCGCGCCAATGTATCCACAAAATCGATGGTACAGATGGTGTTGTTGAATTTCCCGGAATGATGTTTAATGACAAAGCTAGAAAATTATTTACAGAAGATAGGAAAATGGGAAGAATTTGTATCATACACGGAAAAATACCTGAACATAAAGATTTGATATTGAAAATAGATTCGTCAGTTTCCTACCAAAACTGGATATCGGTGCGTCCAGCTCTGTAACAATAAGGCAATATCAAGGGTTTTATCTGCTTGTCTGTCATTTATTTTGTGAACGTTTATTTAAAATCTGACGACAAAATATTTATGCAGGTCCTATAAATTAATTACCATAAAGTAAAATTAACAATGACTGGAATCGGTGTAAACATCCCCATTCCAAACTTCTTCAAATATGCGGTGGATAAGACTGATAGGAACTCATTATCATAATTTTATTGTTGTGATATGCAATGGAATTTTGAAAGCAATTCTTATATCCAGCTGGTTTCATCAAATTTTGAGTGAGTGGTATAGAGTAGACTTATGCTACGCAAATTTTTATTAACACTTGGTCGAAACCAAATTGTACCATGATTGAAGTAAAGGTTTTCAGTGAGCCATACATTTTCTTTTTCGTATATTTTCAGTTTGGTGGAAGGATTTCAGAATACGGCGATTGGGAAAATATGGCCATTTTGTATTACAATGATCAAGGATCAGTTAATGTGCATACGGATCATCAATATCGTACATTTGCAAGAGATGGTGAAAACGGAACAAAAGAAATAATGCTTCCAGGATACAAATTTGGCCATGTAAGAATTGTCTTCCCACGAAAAAAGACAAATTTTACAATTTCGTACTCGTGGACTACTACACGTAAGTTCATTTTCATATATTGGGCAAAAATATCACACGTTCCCCAAATAAAAAAGTATTGGCCAAAACACCACAAAATTGCTTTGATTATTAATTGGACCCGAAATGTACATATGAATCGTTTTGATATTGTGTTGTTAGACCCGAAGTGTACATATGAATCATTTTTCATGTTGTTTTTGATCATGTTGTTAGTACTTTCTGCTTCCTGTTGTGAAAAAAAAAATCGGTTTTTTCATCAACTACTCGACCAATCGCTTGGAAATTCTGATTAAACGTTGAATTTTTTGCTGGGAGTCTATAACGTTTTTTTATCTCAAAAATTTCTGCGACCTTCATGGAATTCGTTTTTTTTCGGCTGGGATGACGTAATCAAATTTGAAAATGCCTGTCTTGTGTCGGTTCCTTTTTCGTGTAACTTGATTTATGGTTGTTTACTGCGGTATGCTATCGGTATACTAATGTATCAGATTGCATACCTACTTGGTGTCCCTATATTTGAGTACCACTCTCTCGTTGTTAATCATCTTGTTAATATTTTTTTCTTCTTGTTTTTTTCTTTTTGACCCGCCCAGAGTGACGGCTGAAATGTGTTTTGGAGTAAAGTCAGTATTAGTATAGAATTATTCTTTCAATCCAATATTGTATCCGCCAGAAAAAAAAATTGTTTCATTTGGATAATATAAATAAATAATATAAATAATAATATAAAGAAGTTAGAAACGTGTCATGACTTGGATTGATAACATAAGAAGTTACCAACCCGGGTAATCTAGCTCTAAATAAGCAAAAGTTTGAGAAACACGACTATAAGCTAATTGATGCAGCTGCAACTGAAACATAAAGAATCCTTACAATGTATTCGCAACATTTCAAGTTGGGTAGCTATTTTGGGACCAGATTTGAAACCCGGGGGTCGGGATTTCCTCCATTCAATTCCGGGATTATTAAAATTGGAAACACACATCATTTGAGTGTTTTTGTCGTGGCTGCTATCTTTTTTGGTCAAATATTCAGCTTTTTAATGGTGTCTAGGTCGGATTCTTCAGTACAGAACATTTTGGAACTTTGCTAATTTTTTGTCGGATGTCAGTGTTTCCGGTGCGTGATTTCCGCCCAGAAAGAGTTGAATCCCGTAATTGTATTTAAAATAACCCCGGGGTCGGGATTGAAAAGAAACAGAAAATCCCGTAATTGTATTTAAAATAACCCCGGGGTCGGAATTGAAAAGAAACAGAAAATCCCGTAATTGTATTTAAAATAACCCCGGGGTCGGAATTGAAAAGAAACAGAAAATCCCGTAATTGTAGCAGTAATTATACGCACATGTCCACAATCGATGCTTTAAGGATATTTACTTTACTTGAAGGAAAAGCCTGTAAATCGTTGACTGACATAGCTGACATAGTAACGTGTACTGATAGAAGCAATTTGAATTCAAATTGCACAGTGAAGTGTAAGGTTGGATTCGCTCCTTCACCGATATTATACAACCTAGCCAGAGATGGAATTAAAAAGAAACTTCCTCTAATGTCGACAACGTGCCGGTAATTTTACTTTAATGAAATTATAAATCTAATGCTTTTATAATTTACGTTGTTCTACATTTGACGTTTTGTAAATTCAAGTAAGTTGGAGCCATGATAGTTTGACTTAAAATAAAAGTGAAAAAGATCGATCTATAGTTATAGTATATAGTTCTAACTTCATACCGAATTTCTGCTATAATGCAAGCTAAATCTATTTTTGAGTGACATAATTATACATGTGTGGTTTATTTTATTTGAAAGATATTATCCATTACCTTCTGTAATGTGTAGCGTAATTTGAAGTTTTCCTGATGAGGTATTGCGTTGTATGATTCAGCGATGAATGTTCAGATCAATTTGAAATGTTCTGCCAACTGTGCTCTATATATTTTTTCGTCAATATCCAATTCAGATATGGGCACTGAATGGCTCAACTAAATTCCAATTGTTTATGAGCAGTCATAGATGAGGTTACCCGCGAAACGTTTGCCCCGTATTATTGAAATAATGATTGCATGTCATGCATGTCATCATCATGACTCCACTGACTCCGTCAATGACTTCAACATTATTAGTGCAACGAGTTTTTTCAGAGGGCTTGCTATGATGTTGAGCAACTCTCAAAGTGAGCTTCAATTTTATCTAATCGGAATTATTTCGACAGTTTTACTGTCATGTTTTTAAATCTAATAAATCAACACAATGCTCATGGCACAAAAACCAGACTAGGAGAGAGAAGTTATGTACACACAGATTACCAAACACCTTGCGAAAAAAGTCACAATCTGGTATCAGCTTAATCAGGGTTAACCCTCATATTAACACCAGTATCAGAATATATTTTGATATGCTTTACGAATCTTAATTTGAATAAGAATAGAATATGCAGTATACTTCGATCATTGCTATAAGACACTAAAATAAAAGAAGGTTTCAAAATTTCAGTTATAGTGGTATCGTTTTACATCGATTCATTTATTTTACAGAGGGAATGGTTTTCAGCCGCCAGACTGGTTTCCTAAAATTTCAATTCAATCAACCTTCGATATGGACTCATTCATCTATACCTATCCGGAAATTCCGATACCGGCTTTTCCGATACAGATATTGTAAGAAAAATAGTTGCCAATAATAAAATCTTTCTTCCCATAAATGAATCCTAGGTGGAAAAATAATTTCTTTTTTCGAATATAAATCATAAAATAAAGAATGAGATTTGAAAAAATGGTCCGACAATGAAAACTCTATATCGTTTTGCACAAGGAAGCGCATGTAATCAAAATTCCAAATTGTGTTTGCTATAAGGAATGAAAACAACGAAAAAAAACAAATTTGCATATATAATATATTATCTCCAACTGATTTATTTATTTATTCATGAATATGATTTTTTTGTTTAAGTGTTAACTTACACTTTGACTCCAACAATGTTTCAGGATAGCTGTTACATTTACGAAATCCTTTGGTATGAACGAAACTGAATTCAGCTTCCTTAGCTTTCTGGTATTATTAGCCCGAATTTAACTTGGCGATATATATTGTAATTTCAATTTTTATCGATAGGGAACCTGGGGTCAAAGAATGGTATCGTGCAATATTGATTTCTTCAGAAATTGTTGTGGATTTTTGGAAAGAAGAATTAATGAATTCGCGCGAATGCGTTGGTTTGGAAAACATAGCTGATGTCTGTTTTGGGGGAAAGTCAACCTTAATGGTAATTTATTGTGGGACTAAAGGAAGTTTATAGTACATATATATAAAAAGAGAAAATTCGATATAGAAACTCAAATCTCCATTAGGGTAAAATAAACTCAATATCGCTAACACAGAGTATGTCCTCGACATACCTCTAAGTGTATAAATATTTATTGTTCGGCGACATTCAAGTCCCGTTTTACGAATATTTGTATGTAGCGAAAATCTTCTCAACCCACCATTCTTTGACTGCCACATGCCAAATAATAATGTAGTTTGGCAGAATAATGGGTACTCCTGTATGTGCGAACCAAGATGGCGGGCACCGGAACGTAGTATGTGTACTAGGTCATGCCATAATTTAATAGGGAAGATTGGAATAAAGTTATGGCCTAACCCTAGCCTGGTACACATACTACGTTCCGATGTTCGCCATCTTGGTTCTCATACTAAATGAGTACATATAATGTTCCTCCACGTTTTAGCTTGAATACGTTCTGTAATAATTTAACTATTGTATAGAGCTCTTGGTTCAACGGTTGCGATTATCCAATTGATTACCTTCTGGAGTTATTCGGCGAAGATGGAGACACTGGAATTGATCCCGACACAATTCCCGCTACAACTAAAATTACACCAAGGGATCGAATTCTGCAAATGGATTCCAAAGCGAAATTACAACTTCTTATCAAATTAATTGAGCAGAGAGCAAGATTTTTTGAATATGTCATTGGAATAGGGCAGGTGACGAAAATTACCATTTCCGACCATGTACTTCTATATCTAAAAAATACGGACGATATATTGTACTTTAGGATTCTTGCGTAGTAGATGAGTACGAAGATCTGTATAATGTTTTGCTAACACCAGTTACAACCTCAAAGATAGACAGTATTTGGGATGAATTCAGAGGACAAGTAAATAATGTAGGTCATCTTTTGTGTTTCTTCATTTTGATCTTCAGCACTGTAGTATTGGTATGTAGTGGTTTTTTTTTTTAAATCTTGTAAAAATATTCAAAATACTTAAAGCAAAGCAAGCGAAATTTATTAAGCTTAATGTAAACTATTTGTGAGCTATTTATTTTTGGCATTGGTGAGAGAAAAATCTATCTTCAAACTGGCGCTCAGAAATAACAAAAAAGTGCTGGATTCTGTAAGATATTTAAAAACAAATTCCAACAACAAGACTAGCAATACAAATTTAGCAAATCGATTAATAGGTCTGCTTCATGTTCCATATTACTTTATTGCGCACGCAGCTTTTGTATTTACATATTCAAAGCGATAATGAAGGCATCATTATAAAATGATTGAAAGCAAATAACAAACAGTTTCTGCCGCCAGGTAATAAGGTTCGCGCGCCCGTTCGCGAACCGGGCTCAGATGACCGCAGATTGATAAAGTATTTTTCCGAATTAAATGGGGACATATAAGAATTGTGCTTTTACTATACACTGAGAAGTAAAGAAAATAACCCACTGAGCATGTTACATTATGGACAACGCAGATTCCCAGATCGATCTTTTGAATTTTCAAATCCAGACTCGACAAATTTTTAAGTTAAAAATGGCAAAAATATTTTCTATTATTGCAACCAGAGAGCAACACACAAATCTATGAACACGATTGTAAAACAATGGGCCCTGGAGTGCGCCGAGAAACTAAGCAAAATATAAGCCAATGGTATTTTAGGAGACAATTTCATTTTGAATATTCGAAAAATAACAAGCTATGTCATGATTTGTTGTATATATTCTACATTTCATGGTACAATATTTCTGAATCAATTATACAATGCCTTTTTTTTCTATACAGAAATGTTACCCAAGCGTTGTTGCAATTGAATATATGATACCTCAGAGTACTTCGAAAATTTGTGAATTAGTCAAAGTGAAACTGAGTGGTGGAAAAACAACGTACGATTATAAGTACAAATGTGCAAGTTTTAGAGGTATTATTTCAACTTCACAAGCCTTTTAGAGCAGGGGTCGCCAACCCACGGTTGGCGGATAAAATTAAACCGACCCGCGGCGCTTCACTGAATTACAGTTCTGATTAATTTTACAATCCACGCTCGATGAGTTGATTATATTCGTTACGTAACAGAATTTATTGTGAGACATGTGTAAATAGAATTATATTATAACCCAACAATGTAGTGAACAGCTACTCGTTTAACGAAACTACAATTTGATTATAATTAGACAAATGGCAACACGCAAGAAAGTTGATGCTGAGTGTAGAGGCGCAGAAAATATTCGAATAGAGCACCTTGAGATGCCATGCAATGAGGCAATAAAATCCATATTATATTCGAGAGATGAATCACTGCTCGATAAAGTATCTTCTTAAAGGATATGAAGTACATATGTAGATACGCGTGCGAACTATTATTTTCAAAAATGAACGTTACAAAGAAAAATCTAAGAACTCGGATTAGTGATGCCCATTTGGAAAATGCCCTAATCTTGGCTTCATCCAGTGTGCCGCCCGATGTCGAAAAGCTATCAGGCGTGATGCAACAACGACTGTCACATTAAATGTCATTTGTAAAAAAAATCCTTTTAGGAAGACGACTGAGTCTAGTTCACGAGTTGTCGCAGTCTTCTTACGCTGTTTGAAATCTAAAATTTAAACTTCTGATCTCTGTGAAAAAATTGTAATTCATCGGCCATCCGTTCGGTTTTTAACTTTCTAAAAATATGTGCGGTCCGCGAAGACTTGCAAGCCGTAGTTTTGGCCAGCGAGCGACAAGAGGTTGCCGACCCCTGCCTTAGAGCGTAATTACGCCTTCGTTTTGGAAGGAATTGTATCTTAAAATACAATTTTGTGTTGATAAAAACTGGATTTTTTATCAATTCGTGGCAAATTGTTATTTTAAAACAGTTTGCAAAGAGAATAGTTTTGGTGTTTTTCGCAACTTGAAGCAATGTCGAGACACGCAGCTTCGATATATATATATATATATCAAGAATTTTCAAATTTATGATCGGTAAAAAATACAAGCTATGAATAATCTTCAAGTCTTGTCACAGTTAAAATAATATTTTACTGTGTGTGAAAGAGTTGAACATGTGTGTGAAAAGAGTGGCGGATTGACAAACTAAACTGATTTTTGTACTAACATGCTTCTTTCAATGTCCAGGATCTGGCCGTCGTGGTGAGTGTATTATTAGCAGACACGGAAAGAACAAACTGTGTCGAACCCTAAAGGCATCTGGATAAGCAAGGAGCACAATATAAAAAATTCATAGTATTTACATTTTTAGCGCAGTGAAGGAAGAAATCAGTTAACATTATAATAATAAAATTCATCGCTGTTTTTCCTTTTCTTAATAAATACATTGTTCAGTGTAAATTTTTCAGAAGTGTACAACCGTTTACTCTGAGATGTCCATTGTGGAGACCGTACATTTGAACCCACGTACATTTGAACCCATGTGTATATCCGCGGGTTCAATCTATATGCAGATGCTAAAACCCATGGGTTAGGTTAGTATGAGTTCAAATATCCGTAAAACAAAAAAAATTCCATAGGTGCAATAGTACGCAGGTGCAATTGTCGTGGGTTCATGTACGTGGGTTCAAATGTAATGGAACCGTCCATTGTTGCTGGGTCCCGTAGATAGTTTCAATACAGTGTGTACCCATTTTTCATTAGCACTTGTGTATCACCGCTAGGATGCAGTGGTTTACTGGGATGTACTATTGGTCAAGGCCTCTTCGGCAAAAACATGAAACCGGGAGCGCACACAGTAAATCTGCTCATCTACTTTATCTGTTTATCGTAGAACTATTGGCTGGATGGAGCGCGATTGTAATTTACCGCAACCAATTCCTGTATAGTTGCTTTATTGGATTACACTTAATAACTGAAGATTCTGTTTGACTGTGGATTTACTTGGATTAAATATACTGTATATGAAAAATACATATTCATCGACTCGAAATCTCCGCGGTACGGCTCCTGAGTCAGACTTCGAGATTGCGCCACTCCTTTTTAAAAAAAATGACTTTTCAACGGATATGTAATGGTTTTTCTGTTGAATAAAATATTCAATCCATGGCCGATATACATATTTAAAATTTTTGCTTTATTTATGAAATTGTGATAAATGAAATCTTCGATTGCATCGATAAAATAAATGCCCCACTTCTTCAAAATACACCGGCAACCCGCGGACATGAAAATGTGTGGCCAAATGCCCGATTACATTTTGTTTTGATTCATATTCTTTCAAATTACACCAATATGAGCTGTCCCTGCAACTCTTACTCCGCTCCATCGCAATGCTGAAACTCGATTAATTTTAATTAAAATATCACCGTTAGAAAAATTCCTAAGTCTGCGATAAAATCCCACGGAGTAAAATTTATTTCAAGTTGGTAGTTTTAGAACACTACGGATGTGCCGCAGACACAAGTAATGTACGAGATTTGCAATGTCTAAGAAAGTGTTTTTAATCTGTCGCTGGCCACCCCAAAACAAAACTCATGGAGTTTTCCGTTTTATTTTTAGTATTTTATAATGCCACTTTTCCATTCAAGAAATTTTTGGTTCGGCTCAAAAAGTTTAAGAACCACTGTACTAGATTATTGCATCATAAGTGGTTTTCCGGGAATTTTAATATCCCCTAATATCAGAGTAGATGTTGCCCCTCCGAGTAGGTTTGAGTTTAATTGAAAGGATGCCAAAGGACTCTTTAAATGTTGAAGGTTGCCGACTCGTGGGCTACAGATTACCGTATTTCCCGGCGAATAAGTCGCTCTTCTAGAACCAAATTTTTGGCCTGATTTTTTTTTTTTTGGGGGGGGGGGGCGTCTTATTAGGCGAATATGATAATTTTCATTTTTCCGGGGTCGTGTTATGGACCTTTCCCCGAGCATCGACTTCCTAGTTTACTTCGTGACGTTGGTCAATCATCAAGATGCAAAAAGTGAAGTAGTTCGCATCCGTTCAGACACTTTTCTCGCTCAGACAGATTTTCTGGCGTTGTCGTAAATACTAACTCGTTTTCCAGTTTTTGAATTCTATTCGTTAGTTTTTAGTTGTGTTTCGGGAATTAAATATATATCAAATAATTCAATGATCACTTGTCATCTTAGGATTGCCAGTTTAATTGCAGTATTCAAAAATTAGCGTAGATGGCTGTGATAGACTAGGCTAAATTTCCTTGTCGGTACTTTCAAAAAACAGATTGTTGAATGCTATGACTCAGAATGATGGTTTAAAAAACAAATAACCCATTTTACAGGTGCCAACTCACGAAACCACTCCTAAAATAAGCATCCTAAATTTGGCAATGGTAAAGTATAGGAAGAATTTTACTGGGGTCAAAGGTCGGGGAAAGGTTCATTATTAAATTCGGACCCCAAATTCCTTCGGCGATAGCATCCCCCATAACGTTCTCATCAGGTCAGTTTAAATGAATCGGCGTTCTCGCGCTTCAATGCTGTGATTTTCATATTTGAAGATGCCGCATTTGTGTGTACATCACGAGTGAAGGGCTATCATTGATACACATGCAGGGGCGTGCCGAACTCTCCTGCTGCCCGGGGCGATTTTCGGATAATGCTACCCCATATATCTAACTTAAAAAATATTTCGTGGAATGAACAAATTATAGATGTTGTTATGCATGAGAATAAATGAAAACGTTTGTTTTATTAAATAAATCATCAACCTAAGCAACAAACTCATATTTACAAGATCGAACACATTTATTAGCAAAAACATGTCCAATCGCTACTTCGCTACAAATGTCTGCACACCAGGTTTTTTACCTCGTTAGTCAGGAATTCCTTTTCGATGCTGATCAAAGATAAATATAACAGGCCCTGATTTGACATCGAAGACATTAAATATGTTTTTATCTGTTTCAACTTTGAAAAAGATCGTTCGCAACTAGCAATTGAATAGCCAATTATGAATAATAAAGATATGCAACGCACAATGTATGAAAAACATTCCAGTCGAGGCCAATAAACGAAGCAATAAAAACTTCAACATTTTTTGGAAAATATCTGTTTCCATGTCGAAAAAGCGACGCATCAGTAGACATTTTAGCAGCCACACAGACAGATTTTCTCGCATGATTGTAAACATTACCTTCTCACCTTTTTGCGTGATATTTGTCAGTTTTTGCATATGATCGGAAATTTCAGTGCGGATCCAATAATTCATCTGTCTACTTATAGTGTAATTGCTGCTAATCAAAAATTGGACTGGAAATAGCTGTGAAAAACCAGGCTCGGTTCTACTGCCCCCTATAACGTGCTGCCCGGGGCGACTGCCCCCTTCGCCCCCCTCTAGGGACGCTACTGTACACATGGGATTGCAATTTGCGAAAATCGTCAATTGTACTTGTCAGCGTGATGTCTTATTTGAGCCGAAAACATTTTCATTTCAGCATTTATTCTCCCAAAGTCACAAATTTCTATCAACATATGTTTTGTGCCGCGAGGACGACGATAATTACTTTATTATTCTCAAACAACCATGGTACTTGTTGTGAGATACCAGGTATTACATAATCATGTGTGGCACGATGCTAAGATAAATAAAGGAGTGAATACGTGACCTAAATTTGGAATAATTGTTGCAACAACAGCTCAGATATGTTTTTAATTTACAAAACAACGAATCAAAACACCATATAATCGTATAGGGTTTATTGTGTTGGAATTTCATAGCAGTGATACTATTTATAATGTGGCAATCGCAATTGATCACAATTTAAATTAAGAAAGCAACACATTTCGTTTCGTGAAGATTTCGAGGTGATGATTATATGTATGTTTCATATATACACTTTTTATGTATATTTATTGTCGTTAAATAAATTGTACTTTCCGGGATTTTATAGCAGATCTTGAAATTTTTATAACGGCGATGACGAATTCTCAAGAGCGCAAAAATATGAGTTAAAACTGAATATAATCAGGCAGTTTATCTAACATTATTATGTCCGCAGATTGCCATTTTATTTTAGATCAGTAATGTTCTTATTTTGTGGACGCGATCGCGAGTGACGTTGAACACAATTAGATTAAAATTGAAAGACAGTTGAATTTCCGTAGTTGTCATGGATTGAATATTACGCTACAAGAAAAAGTTATTAGGGGCTATTTTAACGGAGCGACCGCTGAGATTGATTGATTTATTAAGAAGCCGTTGCGTGGTAATTTGAGATTACGATGTTGATGCGATTTTACTGCCCGTCTTATTGGAAAGTTTCATGCGAAACCCCATTTTTTCAGGCTTAAATACGGGCCTGTCATATTTACCGGATAGACTTATTTGCCGGGAAATACGGTATTTCAAGAACAACAATACACAATAATATATAACCAGGTGTCAGTAAGAACTTGTCGTTACCGATGTGGACCGCTACGTACCCAGAGATGGAAGAAATAGCGAGAATACGCTGATAGCACATTTGAATCCACGTACATTTAACCCGTATATATTTGCACCCGTATATCCGCGGGCTCAATCTATACGCGGGTGCTAAAATCCATGGGTTAGGGTTAGTATTGGTTCAATTATCCGTCGGTGCAAATTTCCATAGGTGCAATGGTATGCAGGTGCAATTGTCGTGGGTTCAAAGTACGGGTTCAAATGTACGTGGGTTCAAATGTAATGGAACCCGAGAATACTATTACTTTTATTTTTTCAATTTTCTTCGAGTCTTCTGAGACCCGATGTTTCATCAAAAATTATGCTGCTTTATTTTTAATTAAATAGTTTTTCTATGAAACAAACGCATATGTTCATGAGACCTCGAACAAATCTGTAGACTGGACAACTGTCATTAATACTTGACGTTGGCTTGAGTATCATTGATAACAATGACTCAATGCAATCCAGAATGTCAACAACACGGGGTCATTGTGGCTGCAAATTTAAGTTAAATATTTATTATCGTCATACGCTTTACTATTGTGTATAATACATATGCGTATTTTCAATCGATGGTGCGAAACACGACTGTCAGATCCCACGATTAGCGCAGTCCTCAGGACATCGAACCCATTATGAGTTCTGCATACCGTTTACTGGCCAATCGCTTTTTCATTATGTGGTCAGTATTTATAAAGATAGTGGTGCTTGTAGTATCCTGAACTTGGAGGATAGACGATGTTTGTAGATAATCAAAATGTATTTCAGAAAACACGCAGTCATCGACTTAAGCATCAACAGAAATGAAATGAGAGCGAGATAGAAACCATGGTCACTCATGCGTCAAAAAATGGGAGCCATAAGTACAGTATGCCCCTTTCCTCGAGCATCGACCTCCTTGTTTATTTCATGACATTGGCCAATCAGCAAGATGCAAAAAGTGACGTATTAATGCTCCCTTTTCGCATCCGCTCAGACACTTTTCTCACTCAGACAGATTTTCAGGCGTGGTCGTAAACATTACCTCGTTAAACATTACCTGGACTGGCCGACCATGTACCAGGAGACATAAAGCGATCAAAGGTTTTTATTCTTCAATATAGTAAGCACACATGTATGCTTTAAAGTAGTCTTTCCCAACCTATGGGTCGCGACACTAGGCGCCTGAAAATCTTGTTGAATCGCTTATTCAATTTATAGTAAACTAACCATAATCAACGGCGGTTCGGAAACGACTTTTGATGACGTGATACTGAGAACTCGTTCCAGAGGTACCCTACTAGTAAGTGACGGTAGCTATGCCCAGTTCTGGCGTCGTTCATATGATTTTGGATGAAATTGTGGGTAAAATACCTCGTTTCGGCCTTTGGGACCATATATTTGAGCATTGTTTTCTCTTTTGTGAAAAATGTATTTAGGTTTGTGGGTTTGAAGGCGTTGAAACTTTTATTACTTCATGTAAATATTAAGGGAGCAATGCTCGAGCATGAGGAGACTAAGGCAAAAAAGATTCTTTTTTACCAATAATGCCGCGAAAATCATATGCGGAACAAAGCTGTAATGCTTTTCCAGGTATTGGGGCTATGATTCTTACTTCCAGTTTCAACGTGAATTGACGTGTTAATGATTCGAGTCACAAATGCAATATCGAATCTTCAACAGTTACTGTACTGTCTCGTAGCTTACCGTACCCCTTAAAAAATCTTCGACTTTTGCTTAGCATGAGATCCGCTGACATGCAATCGCGAAACCGATATAAGTAATTTTATTTTTAATTTGGTTGACGTCACCACACAAAACATCGGAGTGAAAAACGAATGCCCCAAGAAGTTTTGAAATGAATGAAAGTACGGTAATAACTTTCTATCGACAACAACAATCTTTAACCACTTAAAATTTCTCAGCAATTAGTCCGGTGGTTACCGAAAAAAGAGATTTTTCACAACAACAAAATGAAAACAACACAATAATTAATTACGTGTCCAATAAATGCCTCAGGCAGAAGATGCACGGCGTCGGACAATTTCTAATTTTAAGTTTTAAATAAAATTGCTTACCTAATAATCCAATCTCCGTAATATTAATAGGTGATTCAATGAAAAGTTGGTAAATAAACCATCAAATACTTCTTTTGGTTTCTGGTAGGTATTATTCATTACAAACGAAAAATAAAATTCTAAATATATACTTACATTTGAGAATTTTGAAATTATTTATAGGTATTATCTGAGTTATGAAACCAAGCTTGGATTTGGATAAAAATTTCGTATAAGTATAAGGAGATTAAAGAAACACCAGGAAACTTTGGTATATAAAATATATCTGTAGAAATTGTGAAAAACTGCGGTAGACACCGAAAATTAAAAAAAAATGTGGATAATATACCTGCTTAATATATATATATGCGTGATATTGAAGTTGAAAAGATTCGCGCTACTCTCGTGGAAAAGTTCATATTTGAGCTTTCTTTAGTCTACTCCAGACTAAATGATGAATAGACAATCACATTGGTGGTAAATGGACAAACGATTGACACACAATGCGTACGATGACATTGGATTTTTGCTACAGGCAGTTCTATAAGACGACTAGACCAAGCGTAAGGTGTTGTTACATGAATATTACTTGTGGATAACAAGTACATATGGCTGAAAGCCTGAATATACGCCAAAGAGATTTACGTTTCGTGGATCAAACTGCTTGTAATTCGCTACATATCTTTCGTATATCGGACTGCTAATATAGGATTTTTTGAATCTTTTTTTATTGTTGATAAAATTCTGTATCGTTCATCGTTCCCTGCGTGAAGTATGTAGATTGAAGAAGTAATATGACAGTTGAACGATTTTGGATAAATAGCAAAGCTGTAAAACAGTAAGGTGTACAGGAAAAGTAAATACTATTAATATATAGCACAATCGATTACAGCAAGGTAGCCTAAAAGTATAACCTCAAATATTTTTTTGTGTTTACTTCTCTCTGCACGATAACAATCACGATGTTTTATTCATTTAGCGATAAAAAAAAAATTCACTAGGCCGAAGTCAGATTTTGTTTGTTGGGTGCAATTTGTCATTTGTGTATTAACTTTGAAAAGGGAGCTGTTTTGCCTCTATTATAAAATCTGGGTAACTAAAGTACAAATGGGTAAATCACACGGTTTGAAACTGTTTATTGTAAGATAAAACAAAAAAGCAAATAAAAAAAATATTGATTTCAAATACTTGCTTATGTCTAAATTACAGTGTTCAAAAATATGAAAATTATTACTGCAATTGTCTTGTGTTGGATTTGCTTGAGTTCGTGTAAAAAAGGTAAATTTTTCTAAACATTTATGGTGTCATAACGTGCATGATGGCATAAGGATAGGGTAACGCTAAGTGGTGAAGCGGTTTAACGGTGCCTTAAGTCAACCTATGAAATGTTGACCCTGTTCACCGTCATATACGAACAAAATGCAGTTGAATACCTGGTGTACAAACATTTTACTGAGTTCTTAGAGGATAACTGAATTGTTATACGAAGGGATAGAAAAATTCTTCATATATACTTGACCAATCGCTTGCGGCAGCGGTAAAAATTAATGCTAAAATGCTATTGCTTTCATTTTTATTTTATTTTTCGTCATTAATCGTGTTCTTATGTTTGAGCATTAATCTCATCTTTTAGTTTTATGCCTATTCTTATCGTCTGATTCGAGGCTATTTTTGATTGGTGATTATTCCTTTCAGTTTCAGTTCCGCGCCAATGTATCCACAAAATCGATGGTACGGATGGTGTTGTTGAATTTCCCGGAATGACGTTTAACGATAAAGCTAGAAAATTATTTACAGAAGGGAGGAAAATGGGAAGAATTTGTATCGTACACGGAAAAATACCAGAACATAAAGATTTGATATTGAAAATAGATCCGTCAGTTTCATCCAAAAACTGGATATCGGTGCGTCCAATGTAGTTTTCTGCCCTTTAACAATAATAGTAGTTTTCTCTGCTTGTCTGTCATTTATCTTTTGTACGTTTATTTAAAATCTGACGACACCACATTTATGCAGATCATATAAATTACCGTAATTGCTATATAGTAAAATTGACAATTGAATGGATTCGATGTAAACATCCCCATTCCATATTCTTCATAAATGCGGTTAAAATACCGATAGAAACTCAGTTAACACATTATTGCTGTGGTATATTAAGGTTGATATGTTATATTAAGGTTTTCAGTAATCAATAAACATTTTCTTTTTGGTATTTTTTCAGATTGGTGGAAGGATTTCAGAATACGGCGATTGGGAAAATATGGCCATTTTGTATTACAATGATCAAGGATCAGTTAATGTGTATACGGATCATCAATATCGTACATTTACAAGAGATGGTGAAAACGGGACAAAAGAAATAATGCTTCCAGGATACAAATTTGGCCATTTAAGAATTGTCTTCCCACGAAAAAAGACAAATTTTACAATTTCATACTGGTGGACTGATACCCGTAAGTTTATTTTATATTTTATGCAATATATATATGCCACACATTTCCAGGTAGCTAAAAAGTCGGAAGTATTTGTCAAAACACCACAAAATTAATATGATGTTCTTAATTGGATACGAAGTTACATATGAATCGTTCGTTCTCATTAACTACTCGTCCAATCGCTTTGAACATTTCAACGCTTAAACATTGAATCTTCGCTAGAAGGCTATTTCTTTTATTTATTCATGAATGTTTCATGAATCCTATGAGATCTGATATTTCATCCAAAGTCCCGCTGAAATATTTTATTTTTGGAAACATGGTTGTTAATTCGCCAAGCACGACTGCTGTTTTGCGTTTTGATTTTGCGAGATCTTGCTACGAGAAAGTTTTCGATACCAATGACGCACTGTGGGTACGGCACGGTACTAGTAAGTTGCGGTAGTCCACATGTACGATAGGGTTAGTAACGTGCCATACATATACCGCCAACTAATATACATATACAGCCAACCAAATATATACATATATATACTGCCAAGCTATATGTATATATAGCAAACTCAATATACAAATAAAACCATTAAGGTTATGTACAAATACCGCCAGGTCATTTCATATGAATACAATTTAATGCGGTTGCGTCTACGAATCATATGCACATTATGAGTCATACATATAATTAGCGCCTTAAAAAACTCCAAAGCTAGTGATGGATACGGTATTAGCATACAGGGGTTATGCCGCACTTACATGTTGATTGCGAACTATTCTTTGGCTATTGGCTATAAACTTTCCACAAACTAAACAAATTAATGCTTGGTGAAAAATATAAAACATAAATCTGCCGATGCGCGTAGTTCTAGTAGTACAATATGCGTCAATCAATATGGTATTGACTGTGTACATTACTTGAATAGCTGTATATGTATATCTAATTGGATGTATTTACATATGCCATTGGCTGTGTATTTAGATCACCAAAATGAATGTATTTGTATATTAATTGGCTGTATATATGCATATGACATTGGCTATATACGCATTTTTAGTTGGGGCTGTATGTATACTTAGTTGGCGCTATATGTATACATTTGGTTGTATATGTATATCGCGTTACCATCCCCACTCCAATTATTTCTTCAAACCAATATGTTTATATCCGCCAAAAATTTATTTTAAATAAATAAATAATTTCGAAACGCGTCATGAATTTTCAACCGCAATCTACCAACCCGTGTAAGCTAGCTCTAAATAAGTCTGAGAAACATAACTATAAGCTAATTGATGCTGCAGCAACTGAAACATAAAGAATTCTTACAACGCATTCGCGATATTGCAAGCACAAGTTCATAATATATGATTTAAAGATATTTTCTTTACTTGAAGGAGGGCCCTGTAAACCGCTAACTGACATAGCTGACATAGTAACGTGTACTGATAGAAGAAGGGTGAATTCAAATTGCACAGTGAGGTGTAAGGCTGGACTCGCTCCTTCGCCGATATTATACAATCTAGCCAAAGATGAAATGAGAAGGAAACTTCCTCTAATGTCGACAACGTGCCGGTAATCTTATTTTTCTTTTTTTATGAAATTCTCTATTGAATGCTTAGATATTTGACATTGTACTGCATTTGACATTTCATATATATACTCGAAGTATGTTCGATGCACGGTAGTATGATTTCAATTAAAAGTGAAAAAAATCGAGCTATATATTTAAAAATATTTATATCTATAGTACTAACTTCATGAATGCAAGATAAATCTATTCCTGAATGAGTGTCGTATATTGCTTTCATTCAGAAGTTATAATTGATTCAGCCTATGCCATTTATCACAACCTTACTGCAAAACAACATTATGTGTAATGGGTTCGGCAACCTATGAGCAAAAAATATGCACGGGTGCGTAGGAATAACATGTGCAAAAATGGTTGACTTGCAAAATGAGAGTACTTACGTCGTTTAGTGAACATGCATCCAAAAAGCAAAGAAGCATAAGATTGTCAATTGACCCAACATGTGCCTACTCTGAGCTAGAGAAGTAACTACAAGAGAGCAGTTATATACACACAGAGTACCAAAAGTTCATTGAAACGTGAAAAAGTCTGGTAACAGCTTAGCCCACCATCATAATAAAACCAGTATCGAAATATATGCAATATATTCTGATTATTGCCATAAGATACTAAAATAAAAGTCGCAGGCACTCAAAATTTGACTTATATGTATATTATTTTTTTAATTAAAATCGAATTCATTTATTTTACAGGGGAAATGGTTTTCAGCCGCCGGACTGGTTTCCTAAAATTTCAACAACTTACTACCGAATGAGCTTCGATATGCAACCATTCTTCCATGGGTTCATTCCGCCACAGCTGATTCCGGTACAGAGAGTGTGAGAAAACTAGTTGCGATTAATAAAATCATTCTTAAATCCTAATTGAAATTATAATTTCTTTTTTCAAATCTAAATCATAGAATAAATGATGAGATTCAAAACACGGTCCGGCAATCAAAATTCCATACCATTTCACGAGACCATTTTGCACAAGGAAGCGCCTGTATTCAAATTCTAAGCTGTGCTGGATATGAGAACAACTAAAAACCTCAAATTGCATACATAATATTTCCAATTGATTCTGTTATCTATATTCCTGGATATGATTTTTACAAAATTTACTTACACTTTGGCTGCAACAATGTTTTAGGATGCCACGTACGAGATCCTTCGGTCTGAACAAAACTGAATTCTGCTTGCTTGATTTTGCTTTCTGATATTTTTTAGCCGAACTTGACAGGAGATAATTATTATAATTTCAATTTGTATCACCAGGGAACCAGAGGTCGAAGAATGGTATCGTGCTATAATGATCCACCCAACGATGGTGGATATTTGGGGAGAAGATCCAATGAATTCGCACAAATGCGTTAGTTTGGAAAACATAGCTGATGTCTGTTTTGGAGCAGCAAGGCCAAGAATGGTCACGGATGGGATTGTGGTATAATTTATTATGGGACTAAAGGAAGTTTATAGTGCATATATATAAAAGAAGAAAATTCGATATAGAAACTCAAATCTCCATTAGGGTAAAATAAACTCAATGTCGCTAACACAAAATATAGACTCAGCAGACTTCTAGTGTATAAATATTTGTTTTTTGGCGACATTCAAGACCCGTTTTATTACTATTCGCTTTACGATTCTCTGAATATAGCGCAAATCCTCTCAACCCATCCCTCTCTGGCTGCCACTTGCCATATAATAATGTAGTTGTACCAAATAATATTCTTCCATATTTTAGCTTGAATACATTCTGTAATAATTCAACTATTGTATAGAATTCTTGGGTCGACAGTTGCAATTATCCAATTGATTACATTCTGGAGTTATTCGGCGAAGATGGAGACACTGGAACTGATCCCGACACAATTCCCCTACCAACTAAACTTACACCAAAGGATCGAATTTTGCAAATGGATTCCGAAGCGAAATTACAACTTCTTATGAAATTAATTAAACAGAGAGAAAGATATTTTAAATATGTTACTGCAAGAGAAGAGGTGAAGAAAATTGCAATTTCCGACCATGTATAATCACCTCAATATCTAAATAATACGGCCGATATTTTTTACTTTAGAATCCTTGCGTAGTAAATGAGTACGAAGATCTGTATAATACTTTACGAAAACAAGTTACAACCTCAAAGGTAGACAGTATTTGGGATGAGTTCAGAGGACAAGTAGATGATGTAGGTAATCTTATGTAATTAGGTAGAAAGTAGGCTACTGTAGTATCAGTATGCAGCTATGAACGACAAACTTAATATCATATGAGCTTAAATGCTAATTTTTATGATCTAATCACGACAACAGCGCATCAGCCTATATTAAGAAATTGTTTTTCTGGGTTAAACAGAGCATATATATAAGACTTGTGCGTTTAATGCACTAAAAAGTAAAAAAATAACCCACTGAGCATGTCTTATTATAGACAACGCTTATTATCAAATCGATACTTCAAATCCAGAATCGACTAACCTTCTAGTTAACAATGGCAAAAATATTTTGATACAAGAGCAACACTCGAATCTGAACATTATTGTAACGATGGGGAAGAATGCGCAAAATATAATACTAATAGCCTTAGTCTTCCTGGGAGACAATTTCATTATAAACTACTGGACATTTGAAAAATAACAAACTCTGTCACGATCTATTATCTAACTTATTTCACAATTTAACGCAACAATATTTCTGAATCAATGAAACAATGATTTTTTTTCTTTACAGAAGTGTAACCAAAAACTTAATATGGATACTGGACGGAAACCTCACTGTTCTTCGAACATTTGTGAATTAGTCAAAGTAAAACTGAGTGGTGGAAAAACAACGTACAAATATAAGTACAAGTGTGCAAGCTTTAGAGGTATTTTTTTTGAACTTCACAAGCACTGTAGAGCGTAAATCGTTTTGGAAAGAATTGTAGTATATATCTTGTAATATAATTTTGTGTCGGTTAATACTGGATTTTTCATAATTTCTGTATTCGTGGCAAATATTTATTCTACAGCAGTTTGCGAGGAAAGTAGTCTTTTTTTCGCAATTTGAAGTAATGTCTAGACTTAAAGTATGAACAATCAGACTTTCATTGAGGCATCAAAACCAAACTAAATGAAAATATAGCTTATATATCAAATTTATGATCGGTAAAAATATAAGGTAATTCAATCGTATACATTCGTATACATCTGTGCATAAAGCATACCAATAACATGCAATACGATTTTACTTAAACAAGCCTCAAATTTTGTCACAGTTTAATATATTGCTGTGTGTGAAGGAATTGAATATGCGTGAGAACAAATTGGTGGATTGAAGAACTCAACAGAATTTTGTACTAAAAGGCTTATTTTATTATTCAGGACCTCGCCGCCGCGGTGAGTGTATTATTTGCAGACACGGAAAGAACAAACTATGTCAAACTCCAAAGGCATCTGGATAATCGGGAAAAGGTTCAATAGCAATTCAATATAAAACGGTTCACAGTGTTTACATTCTTGCCACGATGAAGATACAAATAATCAGTTGAAAACAAAAAGTTGTACTGAACCCACTCAACACATTATCATATTATAATCGCGCTGATTCTACTTTTCATAATAAATAAATTGTTCAATGAGAATTTAACATAGTCTCGAAACGTCGGGTAAAATTATTAATATCCGAATGAAATTTAAGTTTGTTTATGTGAGTATAATCAGTCAACCGTTATTAGTAATCATTACACCACGAAAGTTTTAATTATGCTGACTGTTTGTCAATACAAAAATGTCACCATACCGGTTGCAAAAACTTATTTTCGAGGTATATATATCGTTCGCTAAAGTCGTGTTCACCCCATTTTATTTTGTACCTTTTATAGGATGTAGTATTCAAGGAAAAGGGCATTATTGGGAGAATTCGCTACAAGCATGTATTGGTATCCGAGGAATCAGAAAATTTAGCTATAGTCGAGTCGCTACAGGCCGACTGCAAAGCTGTTGGATTTACATCTGAACAATGTTTCCTCATGAATCACGACATCACGCTCACAAAAGCAAAATAAAGCCCGAAATAGCGGGAATGCCATAAAAAAAAAACAGGATGAAACGCAGATTGAAGACATCGACGATTGAAAAAATTATCGTTCTTCACTTGCTTATGAATATTCAAACATCATTTGCAAATAGGGTATTTAGTTCAGGATAAATTGTGAAATATATAGATGTTAGATATATAATGTTTCTTGGACATAATTTCATAATGGGTCATGGTACCACAGGTAGAGAATGGTTTCCCGCAGAAAAGACTTGCGTAAAGTCGGCGCTACGAATTTTCTTGTCACAAATTGCTACGACAATTGATAGATTATGCAGTCGAAAGCAATCTCATCCAACACATTATTATTGTATGTGTTGTTGCCATGCAAATGAAGCCGTATACTTCTTCATTGTTAGGTACAGAAATTCATATATATATATATATACTGTATAGATTGGGGTCCGTCAAAAATAAGATTCTCAAACAGGGGTCCGCGGCCCAAAAAGTTTGGGAAACACTGTGCTGGAGGATTGATGGACTCACGTCCATGCTTCCGAAAACAAATACCTGTCTAACCATGACTAACTAATCCAATACCCAAGGCGTATAAATAATGAACTCACATGAATATTAATAATAATATTAAATCACTGGAAAACTTGAAACTTCTTTTTGGAATTTTAAATATTTTAAAGGCAGTACAGCTAACGTCAGGTGTTAAATTGACGTATTGAATATACAGGCTGTCTCAAAAGTAAGTATACAGTACAGTCCAGGGGTCGGCCCGCGGAGCAATATAATCCGGCCCGCGACTCTTTACTGAATTATAGTATATAACAAAACAGCTATTTTGGCAATTATATTCTTTACGTAACAAAGTTTATTTTGGGACACGTGCAGACGAAATTATATTATAATCTAACGAGCATATAATTCACAATTACGCGTAATAATGAGCCTATAATTTAAATATAATTGGACAAATGGCACCAAAGCGCAGAAGAGTTGATGCTAAGTGCAAATGGGTTAATGGTGCAGAAAATATTCTAATTGTCAGTCTTCGCGTGCTGCTCAAAATTTAACTTCTGATCTGTGTGAAAAAGTGTGATTCATCAGCCATCCGTTCGGGTTTTTACTTTCTAAAAATATGTGCGACCAGCCAATGACATGCAACCTTTAATTTTGGCCCGCGAGCGATAAAAGGTTGCCAATCCCTGTGGGTACACTTTTAATTTGCTGTTTAGGTATTCATCATAAAGCGTTCATTTCTTCAGAAAACATAGTATGGATAAGTAGTAAAATTTAGGTATTGTTTGCATTTTTACCAATCCACAGAATGACGAGGAGATAAACCCAGGAAATAAGGCGCAAAACTGCTGTTTGGTAAGAAGTTTATAAATCAGTAAGGCAAACTCATCGCCTCTTCAACAGAGAATTTAGAATTAATTCGTCTCTGAATTTTTTCCTCAGAGCGCCCGCTGCTTTGGTCTTCCTGATCTTTGTGCATCAACTACAGATCCAATTTCCATAAATTTACGACGCGGCGCTGAGTTTGCCTTACTGATTTATATGCTTCTTGCCAAACAGCAATTTTGCCCTTCATTTCTTGGGTTAATCTCATTGTCATTCTGTGGGTTAATAAAAATATGCAAACAATACCTAAATTTTAATACTTATCCATACTATGTTTTCTGAAGAAATGAACGCTTTATGATGAGTACCTGAACAGCAAATTAAAAGTGTATACTGTACTTACTTTTGAGACACCCTGTATAACGATTATGACATAACAACACACTAGTTCTCTTTCACTGAATTAGTGAAGTGAGAGTCGAATCAGTGATAATCATGGGAATTTTTTTTTTTGCATTGATAAAAAATATATATGACTGCCATACTGCATAACCGGGACATTGAAGTCTACCTGCTGGCACTCCGGGACAGTTTGTCAAAATCGGGACTGTCACGGCTAAACCCGGTCGTATGGTTGGTAAGACCATGTACCGATATAGTTTCTCTCTCTCTCTCTCGAAATACCGGTACAATTTAACAAATTGTGCTTTTTTCGGAAATGGCACTCGCTAACAGTATTAAAACCAATTCGCTGACTGTAATGTGACTCGCTGGCAACACGTTTGGCCCTGAATGGGCACGTATTGATTTGGGCCTATTACGCCGTTCGTAATGACAGAAAGAAGCGCTTACGGCAGGGGTCGGCAACCTTTTTTCGCTCGCGGGCCAAAATTAAGGGTTGCAAGACATTGGTGGGCCGCACATATTTTTAGAAAGTTCAAAACCGAATGCATAATAATATTTGAAATTAAAATCAAGCAGTGATAGCCTATATTCCTCGAATAGAATTAGATTTGTTTCCTCATTGCATCTCAAAAAAAAAATCCATTTGAATATATTCACTTTTCTGCGTTTTGTTGTCATTTGTCTAATTATAATTAAATTATTAAACGAGTAATCGTTAATTATATACTTGTCTTTGTTAGGTTGTAATATAATTTAGTCTACATGTGTAAATAAATTATGTTACGTACGGTATAGAATCGTCAAGCGTCGCGGGCCGGATTATATTAATTCGCGGGCCGTATCCGTCTCGCGGGCCATAGGTTGCCGACCCTGGCTTGCGGTATGCTACAGTGGCTTCACCACCGTATTGTCAATCTACTTACCGGACATATAATCTGCGCTGGTACAATTTCAGAATTGCGATTGATTTCCATGGCTTTAAGTCCGCCTGTTGCCGTCGTAAGACAGTAATATGCATCGTTCAATTCAGTTTCTGGGGTCGTGTGGGACCCCGGACCTCTATGTTTTTAACGAGAAGTTGAAGTTCCTCCAAGCAGGTTACGGTACCGATTATAGACTCTCTCAACTAAACAACGAAAACCAGCATTTCCTGATCTGACTTCGTCCTGTTGTCAGTCAGTCTATCAGTGCAGCGGTCAGGCATTGTGTGTCAGTTTGTAGAACTGTAAACTACAGTATAACCTTCTATACCAGACATGGGCAAAGTACGGGTGTCTCCTGAAGTAGGCGCCGCCAGTACCGTACCTATACCGGTACTTCTAGTTGGCCTGGCTCAACAATTTTTGCATATGTAATTTCTGGGTTTAGTACCGGTACCACAAGTACTTCCAGTTGGCGTATCAAAACGAATTTTGTATACCGGTTTGTTATTCCTAACCCCCACCTGACTATGCCATCCAAAAATTACGTCAATACGACGTCACAAACACATCGTAGGGCTTACCAGTACCGTACCAAAGTATAATTACGATCGCCCGAAATGGCATCTGCGCCTCCGATAACGAACTCTCTAATGCCGGCGATCTCTCTCCTATCGTTATGACGGGAAAACGAGAGAAATAGCTTGCTCAGTTTCGGTGATCATGTGCGAGTTTTGGACGACCATCCGCACACTTTGGTGGGCCTTATTACGCCAATGTGACGTCAAAATGACGTAATTTTTCGGTGACGTAGTCAGGTGGGGGTTAGGATTAGCATATGGAAATATTGTTGAGCCAGGCCAACTAGAAGTGCATGTGGTACTAAACTATACCAGACCCTAATTTCTAACCCCAACATGCTGACATGACAACGGTACGTCATCCGAAAATTACATCACTGCCTCACAATCGTGTCATAGAGCTTGCTAAAGTAGACTATACTGGTATATCCTAGTTACGATCGTCCAAAATGGCATCTGTGCAGCGATCTCTCTCTTATCGGTACCAGTATCGTTTCGACGACAAGAAATAGCTTGCTCGATTTCGGATGATTGTCTGCGCAGCCATGCATATACTTTGGAGGGCCTCATTACGTCATTGCGGCTTCGCAGTGATGTAATTTTCGATGACGTAGTCATGTCTGCATGTGGGGGTTAGAAATTACATGTGCAAAAATCACAATTGTACGGTACCGGTACAGCCTGTGGTCCAAATCCGGCCCGCTGGGTAATTCAATCTGACTCGCCTGGTGCTGCCACAACCAAAATGAAATAAAATTTTGATGTTTTAGCCAAAAAATACCCCAAGGAATTTGTTGAGATTGCAATTAAATATAGCTTTGGCACGAGGCTTATTGTTTTCCACCTTTGCTTTCTATAAGATGAGTAGTAAAATCGCATCAGCATCGAAATCTCAAATTACTCTGCAGAGGCTTTTGAGCGGTCGCCGCTGTTAAAATAGCCTATAATGACTTTTTCTTGTAGCGTAATATTCAATCCATAACAACTACGTGAATTCAAACTGTCTTTCAATGTCAATCTAATTGTGTTCAACCTAACTCGCGATTGCGTGCACCATATAAGAACATTGCCGATCTAAAACAACACGGCAATGATGAAAGGTGGGGATGCTATCGCCGAAGGTATTTGGTATTTTGTAGTACGAATTGAATAATACGGCGACAGCAAAAATATTATCATACTCGCCTAACAAGACGACCCCCCAAAATCATGCCAAAAATTTGGGCCTAGAAAAGCGACTTATTCGCCGGGAAATACGGTATATATATTTTAAAATCACAGTGTTTTCTTTGAAAATAATATTTTTTACTGTTGCTAATCTACCTAAGTAGATGTCTTGTCTGCAGTTGCATTTTTAAGACACTTTGGGCTTTTTAAATATGAATTTAATAATTCCCAGCTTTTCATTTAATTGATTGAATATTACTCCTTGAGTTCTTATCAATAGATTGACAGGCAGCTTTAAAATACAGACACATTTGAGTTGCCTATGAATTGTTGGGCAATTAACTGTCTTAAAAGGACAATATGTTAAATACGAAAGGTAAATTTTGAAGCATTCAGGCATTGTATAATCCTATTGCTTCTTAAATGTCTGAATGTTGACAAAATAATCCATTTCCCATTTTATTATGTTGTAGTTACTGTAATATAACCGCTCCTCCATTTTATGTGGGACTCTCTTTAGATAGCAGAGCTGTAAATGTTTGACTAAGTTATTTGTAGCAAGTCGTTCTATATACACTTCTTTGTTGTATGTTATTAAAAAATGAATTTTAGAAAAAATGGTAACAGGTTTTTGTACTTTGGAACTGATACTAAGCTACTGGGTCCATATTTGCTGCCCTTTTTTCATCTGTTGAAAATCCTTATAATTTACTAATAATTACTGTTAAAAATATTTAATGCCTGGTGGTAATTTGGTTGTCTTACTGTTCAGCATTTGTGCACCATTCAGAGTGAATATATAATTTTTTTCTTTCTTTTATTAAGTGTTTTGTGAGATCTATTAATACTTGGGAACACGGATAAACCTGGTTGCTACAATACATCTCTTACAATTGCCTCTGTGAGTGGTGGGAAGGTAGCATTGTCATCATGTCTCTATTCAAGAAGTCACAAAAAAGTCCGGCAGAGGTGGTGAAAAGTCTTGTGGCATCTTTGACATTGCTAGATAAACACAAAGGAGAAAAAAAGGCAGAAAAGGTCTGTTTTATCTGTTGATTGCTTTTTTGGGAAATACCATATTGCAGTTATTATTTTGAAAAGGTATAAAAATCAATACACACTTTTCGGCGCTCCAGAAGTGTGTGTATCAATATGGAGGTAACTAATTTTGTTTGCCTACTTTACATCAAGTTGTGTAAAGGTACTGAAACCTATGGGCAGAGGGTGTATGTATTCACTTGTTAACACAGACAGTTCCCGAACTCGTAATAGAACTAAAAGAAGGGAAATCTGAATAAACTTATGGGCTAACCTGGTACACATACTACGGGAGTACCCACTTTTCTTGACAGTAGATTATCATACATTTGTTCGATTGAATAGGAACTATTTAATAAATGCAATGAAATTGTAAATTGTACCATATAAATTATTTTCTATATCATGAAACGTACTGTAGTTTCTGTAAATGCAACTTAACTTCTCACTCTGAGGATTGTTGTTTATTGATTTAAGTGCTTCAGACTTTCATATTTATACTGTTCCATTAATAAAAAATAATAGTTATTAAAACTATTTATATTGATTAATAATTAATTTTTTTGGAGACTGAGTCTGGTCACGTATCAACTTGAAAACATGGAATTTTTTAAGAGGCAATTGATTTATTAATAACAGTGACAGCTCATGAGTCAACCACAGGGGGAAATGCACAGTCTTATAATATTAAAAGTTGCCATTCTTAACCAGAAGCAGTGAATTGAAATGCTTCAACATTACAGTGGATTCATTTTATATATAAATATAATATCATTCATGTTTGTGATTTGTTCATCAAGTTTATTCCTAATTCAAAATGGAGGTCTTTTGAATGATTGAAATATAAATAATAATAAATGCTTAAAATTTCAATCAATTACATGCTCAATTTTTAAATAACATTTGAGTTTGTCTCTATACCTATAAGTAGACCATTATCATCCATTACTTGTGCCAACTTTATGGAAGATTTAACAAATTGTGTCCAGCTTTTTTTCTCAGTGTTATCAACAGTGTTTTTTTTGTAACAGTGCATAATTGTATTGAATAGCATTACATTAAACTATTTCACAATTATTATCAAAAGTTTCTCATTTTGTAATCTGTCCATAACTATTTGCTACATTCAGCTAAATGTTTTCACTTTTTGCAGCATTTGTCATACTGCGCATTACAACATATTTTTAATTACCTATGTTATGAAATATCAATTCATTACGTGAAAAATTTATTCTTTTTTTCCTTGTCATAATTCAATGTTAATATTTATTGAAAGTTTGAGGAGTTTTGAAAGTTCGGGAACCACTAACTCAATATAAAGTAGGAAACAAATTTTATTTCAATGTTTCAGGCTTCTGAAGATGTTCTTAAACAATTGCAAGCTATGAAGATGATCTTACATGGAACTGAAAATCATGAACCAAATGCTGAGATTGTTGCTCAGCTCGCGCAAGAAGCTTACAACAATCATTTACTATTTAAAATGATTAACTATCTGCATCTTATTGATTTCGAGGTATATGTTAAGCATTATTGTTATACTCTTGTATGTCAGCAATGGACTGTTTTTTATGCCTTTTTCAACCAAGGTCAGCTTTACTCGCAAGGCATTTTCACTTATACATGGAAACTTCACCCATTCGATTGCTTTGTATGTTAGTACTTAGGGGTATCGATCTTTCAAAGTTCAATGGTAAGTAGCACAAAATTGTTTGAAGTTCAATTTTCCCTCCGGTCCGGATAGAATGGAATTTTTCCATTTTTTCGATGTAGGATAAGCTGGTAGGAGAGCTTATCTGATTTGTTCCAATGCATGTTTTCATTAAATGTCAAATGAAGCCCAACTCTACTTGGGGTTATCTTAATGAGTCCAGCAATTTTCCCTCACATAATAAACCTTAATGTGATTGGAAACCCTCAGGGTATTCGAGCACCTACAGACCTTCATGCTCAAATAAAAAGTTTAAATTTATAATGATTACAAAAAGTTCTATGAGACATTAACCTCAACATTATACTCTCTTCAGGAAGGCCCGGCTGTATATGAACCTGTACATGTGCTCATATGTCCTAGTTGTTTCATGTTTATATTCCTTTTTTTTCATTATTATTTCAATAATCAGGTCACATGAAGAGTATTACCACATAAATCCTGCTTAAGCAACAATCATTATATTATCACCATCATGCAACACTGTTTTCCAAAAATAAATTCTAGTTTAAATTGGGGAATGTCAATTTTAGTTTGGACTGAATATTCTCTTTCTAATTTCTTGTTCTTCATTGTTAAATGTCAAATTCATTACCAACGCCCGCTTTTTATCAATATATATACACTAAGTCAATGATTACCAGACAATGACGTTAGCCCCTTCAAACTATAGGCTGTAAAAGTAATGGTTAAGTAGAAATAAAAATTCAAATATGACAAAGTTTAGTAAATATCTGGATTTTATATGGCTAGGGCGATATGGGACACTAATGGATCATAACATATGATAATGATTCATGTTTGTTTATCATTGTATCACTATAAGTTGGATTCAGTCATTATTCGCCTAAACTCTTTGGGGATTTTCCTATGAGACTTCTATTTGTTATTGACACAAGACGTTTCCTTACTGACAATGCCAATAAATTCACTGATTGTTCAACACACAGACTTGTGTGATGTGTCAGACCATTCTTTTCAACCTTCCTTATTACACAACCCTTTTTATAATTTTAATTATCTTGTGAGTGGTGACCCCTTTTCTTGCTTATTGCTCATACACATTTACACAGAGAGTATACTACAGTATATTCATTAATCTAAACTGGATGAATAACTTTATTGAGAAATGATTTGAATAGGTTTGCTATATTATGGAAATCCAAAGGAAGTTTATTCTCTGGTTAAAACAGTGGGCAAGCATGGGGTATTTTATAACCAAGTGGATGTGTTAACTGTATAAAAGATTTCAGAAACTATTAATAAATGCTTGTATATACCAAGGGTAAAGTTTGTTGATTGCGACATGTTAATCAATCAGCATTATAATTTTGAAATAGTTTTTTTTTAGAAATGGTTGGCTTTTTATATGTAATACATAGGCTATATATATAACTGTATAACAGCACTTATATTTCATTTTAAGTCTACTGTAAACAAAAATGTTCCAAGGTATGCCCATTTGTTGTCTGTCATTGGTAGCTAGATCTTAATAATAATAAAAACAAAATGATCAGTTGGACAATTGTTAGATAAATCCAATATAGCAGTTACAATTTGCATGAGATAGAAAAATTCTGTAGGACTACTGTATAACAATCTTGGTAGTTTTCGTTTAATAAATTAATTAAAATGAGAATTCGTAACAAAGTATGCAAAAATTTTTCAAGCTGCATTTTTAAATTGTTTATTTGGCATAGCTACTCTATAGCTTTAGTTCACGTCACTCTCACCACAGAAATTTTATTTTAAAGGGAAAGAAAGATACTACACAGATATTTAACAATTTACTTCGCCGCCAGATTGGCACCAGAACTCCAACAGTCGAATATATATTATCCAACACAACAATTGTTACTTCTCTTATTGATGGGTAAGTATTACTTGTTTTATTGCTTCTGTTTTTACACTAACCATTTGATGGACCACAGATGAAACAGTACTCCCATAGTATGTGTACCAGGTTAGGGTTAGGCCATGATTTTATCCGGATTTTTGCCTATTTTAGTTTTATTACAAGTTCGGACACTGTTTATGTTAAGTGAATATACCTCCTGCCCATAGGCTTCCGTCCCTTTACACAACTTGATTGAACGTGGACAAACAAAATTAGTTACCTCCATATCGGTACACACACTTCTGGAGTGCCAAAAAAAATTAATTATCATTATAAAATTGTTTGAGGTTATGTAATTCTGACATGTACGATGTACAGAATTGTAATGAATCATGCTTCTTTACGGGTATTGAATCAGGTATTTATCTTTACGGTTTCTGTCCTAAATAGTTTAAGTTTCGATTTCTAAATAGTGGACTCCACATCATAGCCTACTTTTAATATATATAGAATATAGATGATGAATACACTTGTATATACATATTATTTTGTTTATATATTACTTGTATAATTACATTGATTACAATTTGGGCAATCAAAGGGAATATGTATTTCGACGAATATGCTAACTTCTGATCATATTATACTTTCAACATTGAAAAGTCGAAATTCCTATGTGATTACTATATTTTATACATTTGAAAGAAATTTGCTTTTGTATCACCTTTGTTATCAATTTAGGGAGTAGTGAGAATGTATGCTTTATTCCACATACAAAAATCCTGATTACATTTCAGATATGAATCTCCAGACATTGCACTTCAATGTGGTCAGATGTTGAGAGAATGCCTTCGTCATGAACCTCTTGCAAAACTTGTTCTCGATTCCGATTTATTCTATAAGTTCTTCAATTACGTTGAAGTTTCGACTTTTGATATTGCTTCTGATGCATTCTCTACATTTAAGGTATAAATGTTACCAAATTGTTTCATTCTTATTTCAGAACTTCCAGTTCAGATTAAAAGCTTATGTAGTTGATTGTAATATGAAGTTTGTAATACTACTTAGTGCTGGATTAGACCATATAATCTAAATAACACTTATGCTCAATATTTTTTTTTGACAATACTTATAACATAAGGTGTTCAGTTCAGAAGTCTTCTCATGGAATATCATCTAACAAAGTTTATTAAATCGAGTAGGCTATCCCGGAATGAATTCAGTCTTTCCAGCCTGACTCGTATACACATCAGCATGTCTATCTATAGCCTTGGACCTTGGTAGAAGCGCTACTATGATTTCCTTCTTCAAAGGGTGTTTGCTGTTTTAGAACCCATAATATACCAGCATCAAAGGAGGAACTTCGATCAAATTTGTTTGCTTTCGTGCAAAAGTCAATTGAATTTAATATTTGTACAACACTAATTAATTATAGCCTCATACTTGTTTAATAAATCTTCTAATGTAATGGTATGTTGTGACCACTTTTTTAGAGGCATTATCAAACTTTTAAAAAACTGTTTTGCTTACTTTCAAGAAAGGTGAATGTCACCATTCAATAGCTTCTGTTTGTAATGTGATAGCTTGTGCACAGCCTTGCTCAGAGCAGAGTATTTCATAAAAATGTTCATGTGGGTATGCTACTGGAATCACTTAATAAATGTTATATTTGTACTGAGTGAACCTTCCAAGAAACAGAATCCATAAATTTCTTCATTACTGCCTCGAAAGTGAAGAAAATTTATTTATCACTAGGACTTCCATTTGTTTATGATTGTACCCAAAAGTTTCAGTAATCTAGGCCGCTTTGCATAAAAGTTGTGTTTTTTCTAGAATTTGTTCCAAATCACCTGGGTACAAACTATATACAGTGAATTGGTCAAACATTTTAGAAAGTAGCTTAGCATTGCTCCATTATCTTCATTGTGATCTTTTGTTAATGGATTTTCTATTCCTAATATATCTATTGTTGTTTGACTTTCAGGACCTTCTTACCAGATACAAGATATTGTGCGTCGAATTTTTAGATTCAAATTACGACAAGTTTTTTGAGAGGTACACCAAGTTACTGAATTCCGAAAACTATGTAACAAGGAGACAGTCTTTGAAGGTGAAATATTCGTAATTTCTGACTTTGACATCACATGATAATTATGTAGGTATTATGGATGAATATAATATAGCAGTTTGGTTTCTATGATCACGGAAAACAATAATGTGCAAACACGCAATCAGCCACCAACATAATTTGCATTTTCTTTTTGCCGAATTTGAGATTTAATTTTGAAATTTTTGCTTCTATAAATATCATGGTCCAATATTCAAATCTAGTTATGAAACTCATTACTTATCGATCTTAAGATCGGTAAGTATGTTGATAGGTATTTGTCTGTCTGTGTGTTAGATGCACGCGATATCTCACGAAGGCGTGGTTGAATCTGCTCCAAATTTTACATGTTTATTCATCATATCTCGGACCAGTAGCCTATTGATTTTGGATGAATTATGTCGTATAATTAGCGAGTTATTATTTAATTAGTGATGAAGAGATCTGGATATTTACAAAGCGAGAGATTTTCGAGACGCGCTGAATGTGTATGTGCGTGTCCGATGTGCAAATTTTCACGCTAGTGAGTCAGAGCGAAGGATACACACCGCCAGATCGTATCTCGTGATTAATCTTTAAGCATTGTCCATATCTCTCTTATAACTTTGACGTCGTCGCGATGCGCAAGTTTCCTTCAAGAAATTTTCCACGCTATTGAGTCAGAGCGAAGGATACACGCCACGAGATCGTATCTCGTTACTTATAATTACTCTTTAAAGTTTAAGCAATGTCCATATCCCTCTATCAGGTTCGGGGTTGCAGAATTCCCCACCAAAATATCGCTAGGCTGTGTTTGAATAGTCATCGCAACCCGGGTTAGTGCCGTTGTATTTGATACAAAATATAGGATTGGTAAATAGGCTATTGGCTGGAAACTAATCGAAACAATCCAGTTCGGATTTGCAGAATTCTTCATAAAAGTATTTCCTCGAGTAGTATTTTGACGACGACATGGGGAGTTGGCCATTGTTTCCTACATTTTTGATATTGGCTGAAAATTATTCAAAACAATCCAGTTTGGGTTTGCAAAATTTTTCGAATCGAAACCACAGTTTCTGTTTTGGGGGATCCCCTACATTTCGATCGATAAGTCATCGGTCTCTGACCGATATTCTCGTTTTATATTCAGTCACAATATTCATTACTAGTTTTACTTAAAATAAACTTTTAAAATATTGTATTGACTTCGGTAGTGTTTTAGTAAAACTGAATAAAAAGCCATGGTAGCATTGATGTTTGTACCCAAAACTAACAACATATGCACATAATTATAGCTTTTATCCATGAATCTGCATACTTAATTAGTATGTTTCGAACTAGGTGACCCTTATAATGTAAGATTGGCTCCATTTTCTGGTAATCTGGTTTCAAAATAATAAACTATATTTATGCATTTAAAATATTGAACTGTATATTCATTTCATATGGGATGGCACTGGAAATTAGGGTTTCAAAACAAAAGGGCGGGTGTTGAATTTAAAAAAAATTATTCAAAAATATTGCCAAGAAACAAAATCATAGTTTCAAGAAATTTCATCAATTCATTTAAATAAAAACTTACCGGCGTTTAATAAGTAAAAACTCATTTTTCTACATTTTCTTACTCAATTTTTCAAGTTTCGCCCTTTTGTGTTGATGGAAGCCCACAATAATATGGGATAGTTTGCGATATGAATAAATTATTTCCTCCCCTTGTTAGAAGTGCAATAATTTTGAATACTAATCATGGCAAGTCTTCACATCCTGTATGGTATTCCTGAATCCTATTAATATATAAATTTATTATTTTCAGCTCCTTGGTGAACTACTACTTGATCGTCATAACTTCACAATTATGACAAGATATATAAGCAGCCCTGACAACCTCAAACTTATCATGAATTGTTTGAGAGACAGAAGCAAAAATATACAGTTCGAAGCTTTTCATGTGTTCAAGGTTCTGATTATTATTTGAACTAATTTTATTGTATATTTCATTTTTGTTAGGTCTTTTTCTCTTTCTCTTAACAAGACTCAAAATAGGTATCCATTAATATGTAAAGAGCTACTGTGTTGAGTGGAATCTTTCCATTTATATATATATATATAGCCTAATCCAGGGGTGGGTGCGGGCCGTATAACCAACTTCGGACATGTAGCTGCGCCACACAAAAAATTTAGTTTTTTATATACACAACAATCAGGATTTTACGCTTGATATGAAAAAATCTGAGTGTTGACAAAGGCGAGACTAAAAAACTTGGCGGGCTGGGTTGTGGCATCAGGCTGCCTGTCCCCCCAACCCCCTAGCCTAATCTATCATAGTATATAGCTTAACCTACCGTATTTGTTTACTAGTGATGTGGTGGACAATAGATAATCGAGTTCTAATTTAAAACTGGGCAATATTTTAATGGATGACAAATTGAAAATATTTTTGGTTAGGCTACAGTTATATTGTCTATATTTTACTAGCTATAAGGCACTTGATCCCAAATAGTTGATGGGATTGGCCTCCAGATGGAACTATAAGACAAATGTACAGTATATATTTAGTTTTTCTAGTGGTGAGATTAAATCAAACATAATAATGGATTATTTATAAATCCAAAATATCATCCTTATTTTTGATATCATCGACATTTATACCTTAAATTAGTACTGCGGTCTATTATATTATGTTGCCATCATTTGTAACGTTTGTTTTCTAGGTTTTTGTTGCAAACCCAAAGAAATCGCAACCAATTCTTGATATTTTGATAAAAAACCAACAAAAACTTCTTGAGTTTCTTCCAAAGTTTCACAGTGATCGGACTGACGATGACCAGTTTAATGACGAAAAAGCATATCTGATAAAACAGGTATCAATGTGATGTTTCTCATTTATCTCTCATCCCTTAGTAGAGAGTTCAGCAATCAACAGTTAACTTGAATTGATGTGAAAAAAGTCTACCGTAATGGTGGGCAATGTTTTTATTTGGCAAGGGCTGTATTAGGAATATTTTTTTTACTAGAGGTCGCATTCAGATATTGACTGTGCTGTCACAATTACTATTCCCATTTGCATTCATAGTGTCAAATTTAATGGTGGCTAACATTGTTGAACTTGGAGGGGGAAAACATTCTTATTATTTTAACAATTCATAGTTTAGATATTTTAAATAAAGAAATGTAAATTTTGTGTATAGTTCTAGATAGGAAATTTTTCCAACTTCCTTCAATGGTGGGGGGATTGGGTGTGCAAAATGCGTTAGTGGGCCGAATTTTGCTCACAGGCTGTAGTTTGCCCATTTCTGATCTAGCATATGAATCATCTCATATAGGCCTCCATACTGGCAAAGAAATCTCCCAACAAAAATAGATTATTCATGTTCAGCTGTTCTGAATTAAGAATGTCTAATGTCGGAAAATATTTTGCACCTTTGGGTTCAAGATGCTGTCATGATTCATGAAGTATATAAGATGTGATCATTAGGGCTGGGAATAGTTAACCGATTTTAGATTAACGGTTACGATTTATTTTAACCGTTAACTGACATCTCAGGTACAAATCATCTTTATAATGTACAATTTCTTCAAAAATGATTACGTCATCGCAAATTCATTTTTTTGTGGCGTTTAATTCAAAAGAATATCACTAACTGTATTGGTACGGACCAAATGAATGAGAACAATAATTGAAGTACCAAGATTGCTGATTTTGAAAATTTGACCATGATAAATTCAGAATCAGTTTTCGATTGAAGCACGCTGCATATCTCTTGCAGCAGAGAGATCATGGAACTATCACATTCGTGAAAAATTTCGAGAAATGCCGGGATAAAATCCCCCGAAATTGCTTTGTAACCATTGTGACGTAACAAACTAAAATTATGAATTATTACATCAAACGTCACGCTGCGGTTAACTGGTTAAATTAACCCGGTTAACGGTTATGTTTTCCCTGAAATTCCCAGCCCTAGTGATCATAAAAAATTTTATTTCATGGCTCCTTGAGTGATCACACACATATTATTAGTGTTTGTTCAACTGACTTTTCGGTATGAGATCAACTATTTTTTCTTTCCATATAAACCTGCTTTTTGTCTATGATAATTCTATTTTGATCTACAGATAAAAGAACTGAAACCAGTAGCTGAATGTTGAGCAACCAATACCACAGGTAATATGCAAGAGTAATTATGATATGTTACCCTCTTCCATATAGATGTAACTATTCTTTATCACTCTGTGTAAAAAAGCAATTCGTCATATTACTGCATTCAACAAGGGATATTGTTTCTATCCCAGAGAATACAGGTAAATGGTGCGAATAAAAACACTGAAATAATACATGAGTTCGATATCATGGAATCCAGGTAGAATGACAGCTGTCATAAATTGGAACAAATCTCTCCTGATGTACAGTATATTACGCAAGTGAATTGTGTTCTTGATTTGATTGGCAAAGATGCTAACATAAGACTCATCTGATGCAGTAGGATTCAACTGTTCTTTTGTTGATATATTATTTCAATGCAAAATCGAGTCTTTATTACATTTTATATTATTAAAACTTATTGAATTTAGCCAGAAATAGTAGAACTACTTTGTTTTCATTTCATTTGAGTGTTTTGGTGTTATTATTTTTCTTTTATAATCTGGCTTCAAGTATTTGCTGCTATATTCGTAATAGATATCATACACTTAACTCATTTACAATTATCTGCTTGAATAGAATCAGAAAGCCAATCAAATATATAGCAGGCCCGCAGAACGCATCTTGTGGTGAATAATTTTTGAAGTTTACTCAATGTAATTAGTGCTACTTAATATGTGGAGAGGAACAGCATAATACATTTCTCAGTAGCTCAACTAACTATTATGGTTAATCACATGGGCTAACATTGTTTACTTTAACTGACTCATGAAAATTTCTCTGTTTGTTGATGGTTGTCCCGATATTTAGTGTTGCCACTTTTTTGAAATGACAGTGCTTTATATCTATATGATAGACTTTAAAGCCTTAAGGCATTGTGTCATCGTCCATATGCTGTGAGCTCACCTGTATAATGGAATGTTAAAATAATATGAATAGATTTTCAATTTAATTAATGCAAAATAAGAGTGACTTTACTGCTTGTTGCCATCATTTTAGACCATTTCTCTTTTAAATTCCTGTGCATTGTTTATATGAATAACTTTTTTTAAGGTTGTGCTCAGTGCTTGAAAAATGTGAAAATGTGATTCATGAAAATATGCCAGTACCATGACAAAAATTATCTGTAAAATTGTAATCTAATCAAAAAGATTTAAACTTGGATCTTTCAATGTATATTGTGTGCTCTCCTCATGGTTTATATTGATGCATACAGAATATTTGAAGTGACAAAATTAAATTTAACAACAAATATGATTTTTCTGTCAAATTTGTTTATTTCCCAAGTCTATTATCGTAACTATTACGTTCAGTCTACTATGTGATTGGTAATAAATTGTTTATTCATGCTTTAATTCTATGCTTGTTTTGTTTATTTACATTTTTTCTTTGTTATTAATAATTAGTCAAATTAGTGAATTTCACGTATTTATTTTTTCGCCTTTCTGACTGCTAGTATAATGAATATCACTTTATGTAAAGATGAATTTATATTTCCATCTATTTGAAATCTTAGTTTCATTAAAATTTTTTGTTCCATTCTATGAATAACCACAGTCACCCTTAACTTCACCAAGATGGCAGACTTATTTGTATTATCCTTTACTGAATTGACTTTATGATTTAGGACTAGGAGTATGTATCAAATTTTAGAATGTGGGAATGCATGGGAGACGTATACAAATTTAAATTTTCTTATGTCGTTTGGGAATAATATAGAATGAAAAATGGGAAAATTTTTCCAGGCCAAAGCATTGCAGTCTGTATTGCAATCATTTCATCTCACTCAATTACAATCAAAAGTTGTATAGCATTTTCCAGTCATAGTGTGTTATTTTATTTTTATGACATGTTTATCCAGTAATGAACTGCCAAGCTTGTAATGGTTAGTATCAACTCATATACAAGGCAGGGCATTTTATATTTTTGAGTGGTGTGTGAATTATTTCCCCTGATTTGTAAAATAAGTGCAAAGGTTATCACATATAGTTATCCCCCCTATAATTTTTGCCATATTACTGCACATGAATAAATGCACTGTATGTGATATATTAAGGTGATACACACAGTTGCTTTTTTTCTTTTCCAATAATGAAAACATTTGTAAGGCTACATCTATATTGAACTAATGTATATTTGCTTTAGGTTTTATATTAGAAATTGGTTTATTTCAATACCTTGAGAAAGATCCAATTCCATATTCAATTTTATAACAACTTGTATATATAAAGAAACAATGTTTCGATCCAATTTACTATTTGTTGTATGCAATTTCTGTAACCTAGCTGCGTGACATCTGAGACATGCTAGGTTAAGTTTTATAAAAAATTTTAGTATAATATCATATTTCAATTTATTTATGTCCTATTAAAATTGTAGTCTGACTGCTTGATATCAAGGCTTGAGTGACTTCGCTGATCAAAACTTCTCACTGAAATTTTCAAATTCTTCTTCATAGATACCATAATTACAAAACAATTTTCATGATATAGAAAAAGTGCCTGTGCCATACTTTGATAAGCTGTTCGCTTTAGAATATTGATTTTTATTCATAACAACCGGTCTAATATTATTTAGTCCAATAAATTGTCATGGATGTAGTCAATCATTTGTTTATTGATGATTTTCTAAAAGAGCCCAATTCTTCCAGTAGTAATCTTGATTCAATTAAAGCCATACCTCCCTTCGAAATCAAGCCTTTAATGACCTGGACCTGAACGCACTTTCCAGAAATCCAGATGATTGACAACAAGGATGTTTTTTCGATACCCCTCATTTCGCTAGGCAATTTTTTTTTACTGATAAAACTTGAGGAGTATATCTATGTTAGAAGTCATTTGTTTCATATAGGTTTTTGATTCATCCCGAGGTTGTCTATATGAATGAACATTTAAAACATCTTCATTGATTTCAGTTTCTGGTGTTGAAGTCGCTAATGCTTTTGTAGTATGCTGTTGGCTAAATGACTGTTTTCACACTTTGTTTGAATGTTGTTGATTGTGTATTTATGAATGAAGAAGTAAAATATCGCAGAAAGAATCTGTTGTTTTCTATGTAGATATGTTCCAACTGATGTCGTGAATTGCAGATTATAAGGATAAGCTGTCTGCGATTGTGCCTGTAAAACTGTTCTGATCATTGATGTGTTCTGATAGTAATGCAGAGTTGATGAGTATGAGACAGTCCAAACAATGTTTAAGGATAGACTAGGTGACTATGAAGCAATCTAAAAAATTCGAAAACAAAGCTGATGGCTGATAAATTAAACAATATATGATAGATCGCACTATTCAAGCGAGAATCCCTGAAAATTTGTGAATATTAGAGTTGCGCTTGCTGCTAATATGATTAATTTTTTTTTATACCTATTTGACTGGATGTCATGAGTCTAGCAAACAGCGCGGGAAACTAATGTTGATCGGGGGCTCTGGGCCCTTTCTATCTTCTCCCAAATTTATACTGTATTTTATATTAAGATGCACTTTATATCTCATTTTTATCTCAAAAATCGATCGTGCGCCCAATATATGTATCAGGTAGTCAAGTGCTTTATTCCTCAGGCTTACATCCAAAACCGGTATAGCTTCAATAGCCGTTGTGTCTTGCAGCGCGATGCGACTTATTTGGGCGCGCCTTATCATAGTTAACTGAAAATGGCCTTATGGTCTGTAAAATATGGTGCTAGGATTCGTTTTTATATAGTTAGTCGTTGGTGGAAACACACGACTGCGGGATATACCAGGTCGCCTAGGCGTGCTTATTGTTTTTTATTGTATTTCATATATTGTTCGACGTTTCCCTCATGTTCTGTTAGACTTTTTTGGGTACCACTGCTCGATAACCATATTTTGGTTTCCCGTGTGCCCCCTCACCCTGGAATGCTATTTTTTATATATAATTTAATATAATTTGTGAGTGTGCATATTCAGCATGGTGAAAAAATAAATTGCTGATTGCTGATTATTTCTTTACTCAAAACCTGCTCAAAACCCTCGAGACTTGCCGCCGAGGTCGACCACGCGTAACACGGCGCATGCGCCTTGGTGTAAAACATGTGCACACGACAATTTTGCACGTGGAAAATATTTCATTGCGGCGATCGACGTCTGACCGTTTTCGTAGATTTTAGTCATGTCTTCAACAGATGTCTCGCAGAATGGTAAGTTCATATATAATAATTACATGTCTATCATTTACTAGCTTTTACTTTTTTTATTGAGTGAGATTAACTGCCCTGAGATATTGAAACCAACTGTATTCCTGTATCTAATGTCTGTATGCTGGTATGTCACACCACACACAGTTCTGCAGTTTATCCAAACTCAATTCGCATTTCTTTGTTTTATAGACTAGTCTTAAAGCTTTCCAGCATTGGCTGATTGGACATGAATGTAATATAATAAGTTACCATAACTCACAAATTTTATTATGTTATTGGGGACGGAATCAGAAATATTGCAGCCACTGAATTCTGGAATTTATACAAAATTTGTTTGGCATGCAGCTAGTACAGTAACAGACAGACAGAGTAATGAATGAACCTGCCATGTTGTTATTGGGCTTATGACCTTAAATGAAGAGTTGTTGAATCTATGGATAGCCATTTTTGTTTTTTTCATCTGACCTGTTATTCTCATTCGCTATTATCAATTTTAGGGTCCACAAAGAAAAAGAAAAAGATGAAGCACTCAATTGGAGTATGAACTTGATTTCTTGCTATGAATCTTATTAATATTATAACAGGTTTCAACAAAATTGAATCTGCACCATGCAACTTTTCTGAAGCTTATGAACAGAGAATTTTACTTAGTTTATTCTGCATTATGAAAATCTGAATAGATGAATGATGAAATATAGTAAATTTAATCTGTTTTCTTTAAGGGCATTTTTCATGTCGTATTTAATGGATTCTAAAATTATAGCTACCTTTTTTTCAATCATATTCATTATAATATGTTGAATATATTCATGATGGTGAAAAGTCAAATATTTTGGTGGAAATAACTAAGTTCATTATATTTCAGGAATTGCAACAGAGTGGGGATTTTTTTGTCAAATCAGAAGAGAAACCTCCACCTAAATTAGACACATCACAGTGGCCACTGCTTTTGAAAAATTATGATAAATTGAATGTGCGAACAAATCATTACACACCTCTGCCTTCTGGTTGCTCACCATTGAAAAGAGATATTCAAGAATATGTTAGGTCTGAATTCTTATACACTCTCTATTACTGTCAGCATTTATTTGAAATATTTTTTGTTTGCATTTGCAGTATTGCATAGAACCTAATTTGCTATTACAGTGGATTAATAAACTTAGGTAGTGTTTGCCTTTATCATAAGTTGAATGTGAATATAAATCATATTTCTGATTTCCTAAAACAAAATTCTGACAAATGATGATAAAATATTGATGACTGATTATTATTGATGAGTCAATAATCACTCTAATTTTTTCCTGATGTCAGTCTTTCTGAAACTTGTTTATTTACTTATTCTTAGCATTTTTCTTTACCAATATTGCGACCTCTAATTGTTACGTCTTCCTACGATAAATTTTATCCAATGAACATATTTGAAAAATTTATGAAACCTTCGTTTTGTAAACTTTTTATACATGAAAAGGGGCTCCTGAAGTATGCGAACCAAGATGGCGGACATCGGAATGTAATATGTGTACTAGGTTAGGGTTAGGCTATAATGTTAGGTATAAATACTTCGGGAGGCTCTTGGCTAGTCTTCGAACTGATAATAGGACTAAAATAAGGAAAATTGGAAAAAAATTATCGCCTAACCCTAACCTGTTACCCATGTTACGTTCCGATGTCCGCCATCTTGGTTCGCATACTTCGGGAGCACCCATGAAAAAGTATTGGGAGCTTGATTCTACTGCTTATATTTTAATTAATTTTCTGAAATTGGTCAAAAACGATTTTCATCACCGGCACACAGTTGATGCCGTGTATGATAGAATACCTTTCAACAATAAAATTCTTTGCAGAACTGGTTTTATAAATCTGGACAAACCAGCCAATCCATCTTCACATGAGGTTGTGGCTTGGATACGAAGAATATTAAGAGTAGAGAAAACAGGACATAGTGGAACGCTGGATCCAAAAGTAACCGGTTGTCTAATTGTTTGTATAGAAAGAGCGACAAGGCTTGTTAAATCTCAACAGTCTGCAGGTTAGTTTTTTGCCAGACACATTTTAACAAATTGTCATTTTTTATAAGTTTGATAGGCAATGCGAATCAGGCAAAACTCTGGAGCTTCAAGAAATAATAAAGCTTTACCTAGATGTGACTGCTCGTTCAGAGCCTTGTTTGTAGAGTGAATTTAAAAAACATCTAATAAAAAGGGTTGTTTGTGGTGAAAATAAAGCGATTTATACAACTTCTTTCTTAAATTCTTTCTTCTGCTTTGTCTTTCTGTAACCGGCATATGATGACACAACTCATGTCTGATATTCAGTGATGTTTCAATGTATTCACTCTAATTTTTTACTGATGTCGGTTTTAAATTAATCAAAAGGCCACGCCAGCGTTTTACTTGATTGAAAGAAATATTTTCTGTGTTTTTTTACCAGGTAAAGAATATGTCTGTATTGTAAGACTTCACAATGCAATAGAAAATGAAGTAAAACTCACAAGGGTGAGTATTTGGAATTCATAGCAAGGGGAAATATTAATAGAAATAGAGCATGTAAAAGGAAATATTTCGCACATTGATATGCAAATAGATAAATTGATTGTTCACTGAATTTACCAACGTACTGTCTACTGCGGCATCTATATGTATTTGGCCATCAGTATATTTTCTTTGAAAATTCTTGGTACAAGGGCACTAAATATTTGATACTTATTCATATATGCGGCTCAAAAGTAATTTTATTCCCATTCGTATTTAGTTTAATTCTGATGCCTTTCAAGTTATGCATGTATAAGCCAACCTCTCAGTTTGGCAGTTTTTTTTTTGAGTTTCAAACTCAAAATATGCGATTTATACGGTACTATGACATATCTTTCAAGTATTCGAGATTCGATGCAAAAAAATATTCTATCAGATTCTGAAGTCATCAGGTATTTGAAAATGCGCAGTCCAACTGCCCGTTTTTTATATAGTAATATGATGATACTAAGTCAATCCATTCTTTGAAGGTACGCCGAGTGACTTGACTGATTTGACCATTTAAGCCTCGACTAATTTGGGGTTCTCTCTTATGGTATGAGGAATATTTGTTCATTTCGTCAAGACGCCGACATTGATTGTTCGTTTTCTCATTTCTTTGATTTGAGTACATCGAGCTTTCAAATTCTAATGATGATTTTGATGGTATCTGATTACTGTTACTGTTCGGATTTAAAACAATCGATATTAACAGCTTTATAAAATGAATATTAGATGCTGCATAAAGTGGGTGAGAATATAAGCATCAAGGTTCATAACCTATTATATCTACCTCTTCAAAGTGATCTATATCACTATAAGCCCAATACAGGGTTTTACTGCCCTCTGAAAATATACATGGCTTCTTCAGCAAATCATCTACCAATATTCTTATTTTTCAGGCGATTGAAACATTGACAGGTGCATTATTTCAAAGACCTCCGTTAATATCTGCTGTCAAACGACAGTTGCGAGTTCGCACAATATATGAAAGTAAATTGATTGAATATGATCCTGACAGAAGACTAGGTGAGATTTTCTTTAAAAATTTTGGATAATGGATACACATTGATATATTTATACAATGAAGATCGAACAACTCACCTGAATGATTCTACAATATCAATTCTCCTTTCTCAATAAATGTAAATAACAAGAATAGCTTCTGTAAATAAAGCATGTCCTGAGAACTGCATATATCTGATTTGTGATTGATGCGGGGTTTTACATGCAATATGAAATGAAGACCCCAGATTGCTCAATGTTGGTTTGTGTGTATTGTGCAAACTGTGTTTTCAAACATTTCTAAATAACGCACGATTAGATTAAATAATGATTATGATAGGACATTTGAAAAAAAGTATTAAATGAAGCAAAGCTGTAATATAAAATTATTTTAGGTGTGTTTTGGGTAAGCTGTGAAGCTGGTACATATATTCGTACGTTATGCGTTCATCTTGGATTGATTCTTGGCGTTGGCGGACAAATGCAAGAGCTTAGGCGAGTCCGTTCTGGCATTGTGCAGGAAAATGAAGGGCTTGTAACAATGCATGATGTCTTGGACGCACAATGGCAATATGATCATCACAAAGATGAAAGTTACCTCAGAAGGGCTATTTGCCCTCTCGAAAAATTACTAGTATCACACAAAAGAATAATATTGAAAGATAGTGCCGTAAGTAAATTGCATATCATGTAGCAATTGAAACAAAAGCAGGCGCTTTAGATATCAATATAATGAACCAAACAATATTGCATCTGAACATGACGTGAAGGTTTTTGAATGACATTGGCGAAAGCAATATACTGAAATTAATTGTAATGCACCAAGGCAGAACTATTTAGTAATGGTTAACCAATTTATTTTTTTAATGAATTCATATACTCAAAAGTATTGTATATTTGGAATTCAAAAGTATTGTATATTTGATACAGTTATAATGAAATTATGACTTGTCATAAATTGACTGTCATGCTCAATAAGTTTATAATCAAAATTACTTAGTAAATCGAGTACAAAAATAGTAAATCTGAAACCGAAACTCTTCCTAATTGAAATCGGGATTTACATTGCAGTATCAAGATTGTGATTTGTGCAATTGAATCAGTTTGGAAATAATAGCAAACTAAGAAAAACATAAGTAATAAGAATATTTGTTGTATGAAAACTTTGAAAAATAACTGACTATTTCTATTATTTTCTCTGGTTTTAGGTAAATGCTGTGTGCTATGGTGCCAAAATTATGTTGCCTGGTGTTTTGCGATACGAAGATGGAATTGAAATAAATGAAGATATTGTTATAATTACCACAAAAGGAGAAGCAGTATGCCTCGGTAATGTTATGAATTCAGCGGAATAGTTTATCCATCTTTCATAAAGTCGAACATCAAGTTCAAATATTGTAGCTTTTTATTTTACGGGAAGGGCGTTTCATGAAAATTTGAAAAAATAATATTTATTTATATACACTTATTTCAATGCTATTATTAATGTATTTTATGTAGCAATTGCACTAATGACGACTGCCGTCATCTCGACGTGCGATCACGGAGTTGTCGCTAAGATCAAACGAGTCATCATGGAACGGGACACTTACCCCAGAAAGTGGGGTCTGGGACCGAAGGTGAAACGATGACAACATAATTTTGTTTAATTTATTACCATCTGGATATGTTTTTCATTTTAAGATACCAAATTTTTCAAATCTCGCTATCAAGCATTCTATGCATATACATTGTAAAAAGCACAGCTGGGCCGAATAGCACCTTGGGTTCATGGCCTAACTGTAAACAATTTCTCATTGTAGAAAATAGGTAGGGTTTGGAAGATCCGATCTTGGTTTTATGAACCTGATCTAACAATGGGGAAATTGCTCTAAATGGCGCTATATGATTGCGACATCCTGACTAAAAGTTATTAAATATCTACCCTGGTCTTTGATATTGTGTTCCATGTATATCATGATATTTATGGTACTCGTTACATCTCCAATGTAACCTTTTTTCCTCCTACTTTAATTTTCCTTCTAAATCGATGTTATTGTATTTATTATATGTTATTTCTGTCAGTTATAGTTTTTTTGTAAATATTTTAGGCAAATTTAAAGAAAGAAATGATCAAAAGGGGTTTGCTCGGAAAGTATGGAAAACCAAACGAAAAAACACCGAAAGATTGGACAACGAATTACAAGGATTTCTCGTAAGTTTAAGTTTTATTTTTTCTTAGCTTTCGAAATTCCACTCAAACAGTTTCAAATAATTATGTGCCTGCGAAAAAGGGTACCACCATATATAAAATTCACACTTCACTTTTACAGCGAGCCATATTTGGTTCGATTTCGATATATAAATTTTTGGTTTATGATTACAGTCTACCAGATTCTACTCCAACAGTTATCACATCAGTGAAGATTGAACCTGCTATTCAGCAACCAACTAAAAAGGTAAATTTAATTATAATTCGAAAGTAATTGTTTTTTATATTCTAAATGTGGTTATCGATGATGATTAATTCCCACAGATTCAAATGTGTTGATGCGTAATTCCTCGTTTCTGAGATAACCAGTGAAAATATGTCTTCCATAGACTTTATACTATTGTTTTTAGTCGTTGTAACATTCAATTAAAACTTGCGCATTTCACAGAGGAAGTTGGAAGATTCAAGTAGTGATGATGACGTCTCACCGCACACTGTTCCTGTTGCAGTTGTTCAACCTGTCTCGTGTGAGTTATTTTTTGTGATAGATTGACTGAAAATGTTTCATCAAAGTTGCAGCTCTTAGGAATAGCGTCCATTAGCTTGCCTTATGTATATTTTTTTGATAAAAAGCTCATTTTTTTTATATAAAATATTTTTTATAAAAGTATGGTCACTCAAAAGAACTAAAGTAGACTTCACTTATTTTCTGGTACTGAGTGGAGGTGATTTATTTTACTAAGTAAAATTTGCTGTGATAGTTTGATCTGAATTAAAGAAAGACTTCTAAAAATTTGCATCGAGTGTTTTCTAACCAGTCCTGTTATAATGGTCATAATATATGTATTAATAATAACATGTAATAGCAAGGATTTGACTTGGGATGCTACATGGCTTGAAATGATGCTTTTCATGTTAGACTTCCGAAACACTTTGACGGATAATGTCATACTGATCAAGCCTTAAAAAGAGTTTCTGCATTAATTGTTATCATTTTTCTATTAATAAGGTGTTGATGATTATTTAAAAAATTGTCTTGCAGCTGACAAGGAGTTGAAGAAATTGAAAAAGAAAGAGAAAAAGGAAAAGAAAAAGAAGAAAAAAGACATGGGTGAATCAGCGGACGGCTCCAAGTTAGACATATCCCAAACATCGGAAAATATGGATACAACTAGTGCATCGATAACTGATATCAGTTCTATAAAGGTAAAATCAATATCTTCATTTGATTTCAGGTTCAGATCTCTCGTTCTGTTACCAGCTTGAATGTGATTATTGGAGTAACTGAATTTTATTGAGCATAAACCGCATCCTGGTGGCAAGCAATACCCCAGTGATCGTAACATTGAATCCTACAGAGTGCGGAGTGAGGGCAAGGTATTCTCTATACCAGGGTTGGCCAACACGTCGACGATCCCGATCAACCGATGTGTGCAGTACAGTTATCTGTATATTCAGTACGCATTCGTTTTTATGTAGGACCTTATTACCGGTTTGTCGATCGCGAGCTGATTGAAAGATTTTAGTCGAGATCAGGTTGGCCATACCTGCTTTATACTATGCCAATCATTAAGACTAATTTAAGTTAGTTTGCGAATCAATAACCTTTCGTATTTTTATGTTATTTTTCGTTTTAGTCTCCGGATTCAAAGGACAAGAAAAAGAAAGAAAAAAAGAAGAAAAAGAAAAAAGACAAGGAAGAGGAATGAGATTTACATTGATAACATGCGAAGAATCGAAACCTTATAGCAGAATCGTTGCCAGAATGAACATGTCAACAACTGCCTGCAGAATTGCTCAACTTTCTGTACTTTTTGTGCCAAGTTTTTACTGTAAATCATGGTTTTCAACCAGCGTTATGTATCGTTTTACAAGATAAAGTTCGATCTGTTGTTATTAGCCTGTAACGTTAAGGCTAGCGATTGAAATCTTGTAATGAAACTTTTCTCTTATGACCTGGACTACGTTTACCTGGCTTTTCAGCTATTTCTGTTTCACTGCCATTATTACGTTCCATTGATTTTTAGCTCAATCATGATTGTGGTGCGTTTTAAATCCATATTGTTTCAAGTCGTGTATTGGGGATGGCATATCAGTTTCTTTATTTGGTGCATCATTGGTGGTTTTAATGGCGGTGTTAGTTCCATTCTTGGGATCTGGACTGTGGAGCTGATTATAAATGTCAATGGCTCCAACTCTATATCCCGAGCTCTATTTTTGAGCGGCTACGCCTCCATACCATTAATTTTCATCTGTATTACCGCCACCATGGAATATCAGCCCAAATTTTGAAATTCATCTTCAACGTTGTAGATATACGAGTTCAACTTGTAACTTTTAAATTATAAATTAATGTTACAAATTGAATTTAAATAGAATTATTGGTTGAAAAGGATAGTTTTTACTGTATTCATAAAGCCTATTACAAAATTAAAAATGTTAAACAAATATTTGGAAGTTCAGGAGCTGGTGCCACTAAATGTTCTGGTAGCTCCGACTTTAGCGCCATCTATTACGGTGATTCTTAATCTTTGCGGGCATGCCAAACCCGGTGGCATTGTACTGTTGAAACTAGGAACGCAATCACTATTTATAAAGAGGGGGCTAATTTTGCGCAAGGGATATAAAAGGATCATTGTGGTGTAACCAAAGGTAGTAGCCCTTGTTGTATCACGATGGTATCGGCGGGAGGCAGATGTTTTTTGTTGTTAGGTTATGGGGACGAAAAAGTGAATATAAAAATCGCAACTTTACAATTGCTATTAGTCTGGGTATTAGGAAGGTTTCATGATATACAACTCTTTCAGGGAACCCTCGTCGAACCATGGAGCATCTCCATCGAACAACCCGGGTTAAGAAACACTGAGCTATTATGATGAGCTTCGCTTTTTTTGGATAATAGCGCTTGACTTAACGTATATGTAATAAAACCTGTCTATTTATATGGACCCCTGCGGTATTCTGTGAACCCCACAAGTATATCCCTGCCCCTCACTTTGCGGATAGATGTTGCGTATTCTGTATCCAGGAATTTATATATATAGTCTATATCAGGATTATCCTTATCTTGCGTGGATTAACTGACAAAATTGCCTCAAGTCGACGTTGCTTCAAGTCGGTTCTGTGAGTAGGATTAGGTTCGGATAGATTTTTCGATATTTCGAAAAAGATGACTAAACCAACCAACCGAGATAGCGATCGGAGACCGCCGACTTATCGATCTGGCGCGTGTATCCTTCGCTCGGACTCAATAGCGACGCCGTGTGTCCCATCACTAATTAATTATTAACTCGCTAATTGTACGACATAATTCATCCAAAATCAACAGATTCTGGATCTGGTTTGAGATATGATGAATGCATAAAATTTGGAGCAGATTAAACCTCGCTTTCGTGAGATATCGCGTAACATACGAAAGTGTCTAACAAACAAATACCTATCAACATACTTACCGATCGAGTTTAGATTTTTAGAGTCTGTGTGGGAGTGCCTGAATGGCTGATTACTGGAGTTATTGAAAGTTACGTCGACGCTAAGCAAACATGGCTCCTCCGAAGTTTGATTTACAGAGGAGTAGTTCAATAAATACCAAAATAGAATAGTATTTGCCTATTTATCCCGGGGGAGAGGAAATACAATAGAACAGCTTCATCTCATTGCGAATCACGGCGTATCGTCCGGTATAATATTAGTTAGCCCGTTATTCGTTTTCAGGTGCATTGACTTGATGGTGGAGAAAACCGTAACCAACTAGCGGTTACCTGGAACACCCCTCTCCCACATAATTATCGCCGTATAGGATTCGAAACTGCGAACCCACGCAGGGCAATCAGAGTAGCGGTATAATTCTAGAAACATGCTCTAGCTCTCGGATAAAGCTTAGAACTCCCTAATCAAGCAGGGCTGACCAGTTTATCCCTCACGTTTGCACCAAGTTTTATTTGTCTGAACTCAATCTCCGTTTTCACTCATGGTCCCGGCCTAACCAACAACCCTCGAATTTAATGATTTAATCAAGTAGTGCACCTCCGATCGACAAAGTGAGCCCTGCTAGTAAAGAACATACAAAAGTTTGGTTATTTTGTCTTTATTGTTTTTTTTTCGTTTGAATCGTTAGCGTACGGAAATAAATAAACAAAATGCACTTCTGCGCCAACAAATAATAAAAAAAAAAACATCGAAAAACAGAATGAAAATAATAAATGATCGCCATGGCAAAGACGGACATATAAAATGAATAAACATGAAATTGCGATCTGAAAACGTTGAAAACCAATCATAGAAGCTGGTGATAATAAACTACAATATTGTAAAGTATCTCCATTGTTGTAAGAAGTGTATTTGAGGTCAAGGCAAAAAACACACAACGCACGAAAAAAGCTAAATAGAAAATAATTTAAATTTTGTACATAACACTTTTCCGGAATCGTAGCAAAAAGTACCGCATATAGAATACCGAAAAAACGATAAAACTAAAAGACTGGCGCAACAAAAAGGGCAAGGACGATAGGCAAGTGTAATTGACCGTTATTTTCCACAAACCCCAACTAGGAAAGTTGATACAGGATAATTCTAATACAAAGGTTTGCAAAAATTTCTGATTCGTCACTTTAATATATCTGGAAATTACATCATTTTGATTACATCAATAGCAAATTTATCATAAAAAGTTCATCATTTTTATGTTTCATCGGGCATGACGTATCGTAACACCTCTGCAATTAGGCAATCAAAAAGGCGAACAATAATCACATTAGCATAATACGTATATACTTAGCCAAATCGGTGGCATGTTTATGGATATAATGAAAAAAATAATTTTCAAAGAAAAAAGAGAAAACAAGATGGAACTTTTTATTCAGACAAGAAAACAAATATGGTGTTGTTCTGGCTCTTAAAATAACAGCATCAGACCCGAATGACGTAAAAACCAGGATTTATTTTCGTGTCTGATATTGCTCACTGCAGTGCTATGTGAACTTAGTACATTTACTGGCATATATTATTGTTGAAAAACGAAGGAAATCAAACGTGATTATTTACCCGTACATGTGGAAGATTGAACACCAGCCTCAAATAACTACTATATGACTCACAGAAGAATGTGTTTTCAAGACTTACAAAACTAAAAAAAAAAATCGGTTGTCAAAATTTTGTCAAAATATTCTAATAATTTAGTCTAGATTTTGTTCTATTTGATTATTTTAGTGTTTAAAACCGTTTAAATACATAGCATATCCATATATTTTAGTCATATTTGTGGTAAACCACAAGTTATTTAAGGCTGGGCCAGACCAATATAAAAGATCAATATCCTATAATTGTTATTCAATAAAATATGCATAGAAAAATAAATAAGAATCTTGAAATCAACTCAGTAATAACATTTAAATTTGAAAACAAAATTAAAGTGAATTTTCAATAAATTCAATACAATCGTAATAAAGTAAAATAAAAGCGAAATAAAATTCGCGGTTTAATGAAATAGTGTTATTAATTTGTACACCTTGTTATTAACAAATAAACATTAAAATGAAAATATAAGCGAGGCAAAATAATGAAAATCGCAATACTGTTCATAAAATTCGATCAAAATTGTTCATTAGAGTATGGTGATCATTTGTAATCCATGCTAAATTCAGATCGGTTTTGACCGGACTTTGCAGCAAGTTATGTCCGTCCCTACAAATACAACTTTTACATTTGTTTGAGGCAGTAGAATTTAAAACCATTTCTGATGGATGATAATTCATTGTTAAATCAACCTAAATTGTTGCATCCACTAAAATGGCCAAGTATGGCCCTAAGGTTCTGTTACATTCACCTTGTGACTAAACATCGACAACTTTAACAGTTTTTCCGGAACCATTACCAGAACCCAGTAGAAATAGTTCAGTATTTGTCGCTGACTGTTTTGATGTCGTTGGGTCGGGCTGTTGTTTGGTTGTGGTCGTTGTACTAGAAGATGTTGGGATGTCGGACTGTGTCAATGCTGCTGTTACGCGGGGATCACCGTCCGGAAAATGAACGGAAGATCGTTCGGATGATGGCGTAGGAGAACCGGATGATTGTTGTGAATGGTAGCCCTCAGACGGAGAATCAAATTCATTGTTAACTGAGGTTTCGGGATTATTCAAGTCTGTATTATCAGAATGCCTCCTACTAGATTCAGTATTATTCGAAGCTTCATCAGAGTTTTCGGCCATTTCTGCGTTTCTGTGAGCAGATTTTGGAACGTCATTATCGGGAGAACAAAATTCGTTTTCTGCCGAATACGTAGGTGCCGTTTCGCGGCGTCGCCTTCTCGGAGACGATCTATGTTGCTGTGTTTCCGCGGAAGATCTCTCTCGTGATTTTTGTTGTTTTCTTTTCGATTCTCCGTCTCGTTTGTGATCTCGTCTAGGGGCTATATCTCTCCCAAAAAGCGTTTTGAGTCCTGGTGGGAGATCAAGCAAAACGTCTTTGTTGTAACTTGGGTCAGATGCTGCGTGTCTGTGCCGATACAAAACACTGTATAGAGGTGCAGTTCCAAAAGAAAGATTTCCGTTCGAGGTAGTTTCACTCGGTGGAGATAGTTTACGCAAGAGGGCGGCTTGAAGATACATGTGCTGCCACTAAGAAAGAAAAGACGAGAATTTAATAAATGAATGCATTTTTGTCTCACCCGACTTGGAAAAATCAAATTTATCTGCAATATATCATACAATTTTATTGATATGGGGTATTCCACATCTTCTCCCAAACAAGACAAGAAGTCACTGAGTTATGGAGCTAATCGATTTTTGAACACCTTGGCAAAATTAATTGAAGCAATGGTGGGAAGGCGACCATGACGTCAAAGGCGATATTTCTAATCTAACACTTTCGATAACAACCGTTAATGTTCAAAAAATTGTTGAAATTATTCAATGCGGCGTGTTACCTTTAACATAATCTGTGCTTGAGTCTTTATAGTTTGTTCCTCGCGAGTTAAAGTGGAAGTAGACGACGGACTCGTACATGACTGAGAATGAGAATGGGAACCGGGTGCGTTTTCATCTGAATCCATCCCATTGGTTATTTCGCTGGTTGGAGACGATTGTGTCTGCAGAAAAAATAAAGATGATTAGATATTGAAGTTATCGTTTTGTTTATCAACTATATATATTATACGAGAAAGCTATGCTATGGTACGCGAAACCAATGGATTCGAAGCTCTACATCTAAATTAGGCCCGCGACCCCTGTATTGAAGATCACTGGCATGGGTCAAGGAAAGCGGTTTTATCGGTTTTTCGTTTTCCCTGAGGAATGCTCGTTTATTCCTGATGATGGCGCAATTTAATCACTAATAAACTCGTGAAAGGTATATTTTGAACATAACAATCTGAATAATATTTCAAATTTTGATATAGTTCTGTAAGAGGCCTTGTTATATTAAAAAACGCTTAAAACGAATCTGATTTAAAATAACATCAATGGCATTGACAATCAAATATCAAAGTAAAAAATTCAAGTTGGCACAAACGGTATTTCGGAAACCTCTTGCCACAAACATCACCACAATCCTACTGATAGCAATATAAGGAGAAAAATTCCTCAAATACCCTTAACATGGAAATAGTCCTTGTCGGGGGACCGGATAATTATTTCAAGTGGCAAGGTCAATTTCGCTTCTTAGTAACAGCCATAACATGGCATTTCCATTTCATAGGATATTTATCATCAAACTATATTCGGCCGTTTATCCAAAATGCTTTGAAATGACGTTTAGCATTCACGACGTTTGTTATTTTGTGGTTAGCGCTACGACGAAGACGCTGGCGGCTAACAAATTCAATTTTCTCATGTGTGCATTCTTTCCCAAACTTTATCTAATTTCGTCTCCGAGGCGAGCAAAATATGCAGCTTGCGTCTTGTTAAAAAGCCGCAGGCGAAAAATGAAGCGTGTTTTTTCGCATTTTTTCCGTATCGCTCCGATAGACCGTGGCCAGATAGCTTACGTAAGGCGATTTCTGGTAATTTTCCATTGCTATTTGAGATACTATCGCGCTGTGGCGGTTTTTCTTCGAATCACACAGGGCTTTGTATCCGACGATTTATTCTAATTAAAAGCGAAATACCGACGATACATGAATGCCTTCTTAGCAGGCATATTTCATCTATTATTAGAATGTTACATACCAATTCTGAATCATAAAAAATAGAAACTTATTAATAATCATCCGATTTATGTCATAAAATAACTAGGCGAGGCGTTTTGTTAATAAAGTATTCATTCATATACGTATGTATGGTATTCATTTACGTAAAAAGTTTTTAAACTTGTTTCCGTAGAGAAAAAATTACGTCATTCATTTTTGATATCGACCAATTTCGTTTGAAAAATGACCGATTATTTTTATTTCATAATTTAATTTGCTAAATACCTGGACAATGGAATCATCCAATTCGCTTTCTGCTTGTATTCTCGCTTGTACAGTCGTTGATAACATTTCTAATAGTGGAGATAATTCTTCAACATACTGATCGACTTTCTGTTTTTCTGAGAGTTTTTCCTAAAAATTCAATTTAACAAAATGATAAAATGATGAATTTTTTTTATTGAAAAATCCATATAAAAATGGATGATTGAACAAATAATCCCTTACCTTCAAAGATGAAACATTAGCTTGCATCCGTTCTAATGAAGAAGACAGTAATGATATATCCTCCTGTTGTTCTAAAATTCTATCTTTAGATTCGTCTAATTGTTCTTTTAGGATTCGTTCTTGTGTTTGTAGATCTTGCACTAAATCAAAAATAATAGATTTAGCGAAATTCATGTCAAGAATCATATTTTTATGTTGTTGTAGGCCATCGATAATTATTTATATGTACGGTACAAACTCCAAAACGTGGTATGGAAACAAATAATAGGCAAATTTCTGATGTGAACCATAGTTACATGTTTTTAAGTAGTTTCCCACAGTTTTCAGCATTCTATCAGATTTCTGTGTAATTATGTCATTCTTACTCATTTTTTTACACTGACTACTAAGTTTACAAAGCCATTTAGGCACTTGTAAAAGACGAACAACAAATTTTTCAACCTCCAATTAAATTAAGTGAAAGTGAAATTTATATTGATGCCACTGGAACGGTTTCAATTAAATCCTTTGCCCTATAAAAAAAAAGTTTTCTATAGTGCAGTAAACTTAAAAAAACAAATTCTAGTTTACGCACCTATGACCTTATACATCATTATATCGCTTGACGAAGCGGACTGTGCGTCTTTGTTAGTTGATTGCAAGGTTTCTACCAGTTCTGTCAGAGTAGCGATGCGTTCTGAAAACAGAAAATATATACATGAAGAAACATTGAATTTGAATATTCAAAGATAATAATAAATATAAAATTCACCCAATTGATACCGCCCATTTGCATATGTATATTCGAAAAGGACTATGAACAACTCGAATTCTTTCTTTTGTAAACACAACAAAGAAATTTAAGTACTTTAAACTAGTCAGCAATGTATTAGAAGACACTGAAATTTAAGCACTTTAAAAATGAATTTATTTACCATCGAGAACGAAGGGATATTACTGTAAACATAAAATAGATTTTGAGTTAAATAATAAGAATTTGTCAAACTTGATAAGAGATTAATTGGTCACATATTTCGGATTGGCAACAGCCCATTCATTCGAGCTAATCCGCTACAGAATTTCAGCTTGGAATTTCGTTCGCGCGTGACGTCATAAAGTTAAAGAGAGTAATGATGTATTTCTTTATTGATACCACTCCGCCGCATTCCATTCACTCTTGCGCCCAGCGCTCGCGAAAATATGCCAATTGGATCACGTGAAATTATATACAAACAACCATGAGCGTTTAAAAAATAAGTCTACAAGTTCGATTTATCCTTATATAATGCATGGCCGAATATATGAAATCAGTGCTATACGTGCTTATAGACCAGTACCATTTCGAGTGTTGTTTTCTGGGCTCTGTAATTCCACTTTACTATATATGAATATTCTTCCCATACTATATATAAAATTAGATTATAAAATATTTTTGTGGGCAAAACATTCTTATGAATACCTCGTTATTGCGATAGTCTCATTGAGACTTAATAAGAGCGCGACCTTCGATGAAAAAATGAAGATTTCTTCAAATACCATATTAACAAGCATGCTACTTGTCGTATGACGCATATTGCTTCGTCTAATGACTGACGCATCATGCTACACGACATTCCGATATGTTTATGAGCGATTTCACTACTCGTTGGTATTCGATAATCACTATTAAATTATGTTAGTTACAAGCAGTGATATTGCGCCCAGTCCAGATCTAAACAACTCCGCCATTTTGAAAATTTTCAAAGGCGTATTCAGACGAATGGCTAGAAATTTTTTGATATGATCTTCCATCAATGCCTGCATTTTACGCTATCTCAGTGACTCTGCCATCTATTCCGCAATAAACCAGCGGTGATGTCAATTGAAAATTACAACCAAATTTATCGGCGCTCCAGAAGTGTGTGTACCAATATGGAGTTTACTAATTTTGTTCGCCTACTTTACATCAAGTTGTATAAAGTGACTAAAACCTATGGGCAGGGGGTATATTTACTTAGCTAACACAGACAGTCCCTAACTCCTAATAGAACTAAAATAAGGAAAACCGGAATAAAATTATGACCTAACCCTGACCTGGTACACACACTATGGAAGTACCAATTTACCATTGTCGCATTCTACCAAACTTGATCCCCGTGCGTAAATCATTAACATAATATTTATGCGATATTATATAGATATATATATGTACAAAGTTTCGTGGATTTACGTTTTTCATATGAGTTAAGGAAATGCCATTATACTTGTCAATTGGGGAAAATAGGCTAATCCAATTGCAAACAACGTTCCAAGCCACTTAAAAGGCGGATGTCGCGTGCCAACTTTAACCCCGTAACATTTATTTTCATTTTACAATCTTCAGTGAGAGGTTTGTATTCGTTTCAGGAGTGCTGTTGCAGTCGCAAATATCGGAATTGATAGAAAACAGTACTATGTTGATTCATTATCCACAGTTTACCCCTTCAAAATTCAACACAAATTTGAACTTCCGGAATGTTAGTGAGGTAAATTAATGATGAATGTTATGTTGCATTCGTAAAATTTGAAAGTGGAAAAATGTAAACGAAAAAAGGGTGAAATTCAGTTTGACGTCAATATTATCAGAAGTTATTTTACGCTGTCAATTATATCATGATATAACGATGATCTATCAGACTGCACGCGATAACCGCATGGCATGGCCCCCCAGTGTAACAATTTTCATACCCGAATAAAGTTCAAAATATCATTTCCCCCAACAAGGAAATGCTTAAAACTTAATTTGAACTATAGGCTATTTATGGTCAACACCTTACTGGACGTTATTAGGAATTAATACTAACATTAATTAAAGCGTCTTATATCCCTTAATTCTTTCGAAATGAGCCTCACAAGGAACAGTTCTGTCACGGAAGGTTAAAGTTCAAGTTTCTGAAATTTTCATCTGCGGAGGCGTTGTTAACGTAACCTATGCGTCAGTGTATGGGTAAATTTGGGTGTTGTGATTTCCCATATAAACCATGACGTGAATCTTATTTCATTTGGGTGGGAAGTTTATTTCGACGAAATATAATAATAGATTCATCTTGTATTTATATTTCTTTCAAACATTTGTTGGAAAATTTGGAAAAAATTTCAGAACGCAAAGTCAAACTTTGTGAAAAGTCAAAATTTGTGTGGGGTAACGGAAACGTTTCTAACACGAAGGAATGAATCGTAGATATTTCCCCGTCTTCCTAATAAGGACATTACTTGCGTGACGACAAAAACATACGATATGTCTAGGTAGGGAATTCAAAATAGAAAGAGTAATAATAGCAGATTAAATATAACACATGCGACACTCACGCGATGCGACGCCTACGCCCAGTGTGCCTAGTTTGTTTGGCATAAAAATACAAAAATGTAATCCATGATTTTGGAGATTTAAAATTTGCTTAATAGAAAACGATTTACCTCGTAATATTTCGTTTTCTTGGTTCGTTTGTTTGATTGTAGCTTCCAATTGATTTCTCAATGCATCTTCCATTTTTTCACTTTTTGCAACAGAGGTGCGGAGAGCTTCATATTCTTCAGTTACACGCAGAAGATCTTTTTCAACCTGTAATTAAAATGTTCTTAATAGATTATCAGTCTTAATGTCTAATCAACTTATTCAAAGAAGAGGACCGAAAGAAGATTTGATTCGATGTCTTGGCCATTCTTCATATTGATATTGCATTCTGTCTGAGTTATCAGTACTGTCGGTTTCCAGAAAAAATCGACTTCATAATTGCATTTTTGAGGTTTCGTTTATTTTACCTTGAACCAATTACACAGACAATACATGAAAGATCCAGACATATCTGTCTGCATCGCTGAGATACGCATGACAGTGGTTTTTTGTGTTCATTATATAAACTACACTAAATGCTCCGATCTGATGATATCTCTGAAATTTGAAGGTTTTGGTCGATTTTGCGACCTTATCCTTGTGCGTAATTGCGTTTATGATGAGACGTTGCACGAGATAATGCGAGGGATTCAAAATCGTTGCTTCGCGGCTTAGCAAGATAGATATAAAGTTTTAAGCATTGCCGAGGGGCGCAGACGACAGGACAGATAAAATATTAAGAACACGGTTCAATATGCCTGTTTGCTGGCTGTAATTCTTAACTGTCATAGTATAAACGCCTGGCATGCTTACATGCGGCGAGATGGTTAAAAAAAATACGTATAGTTTAGAAAATATTTCTTGCGGTATTGTGAGCGTGACGATTTTCTGAATTTTGAAGGTCACCAAAACCGCCACCGAGGTCAGCTATCCCGTCTGAAATTATATTTTTATAATTATAGGTATTTAAAAAAACGAGTACCCAAGCTCGAATGTATTGAATAATTGGATTACGTAATATCTTCTTAGCGCCAAAAGCGAAAAAGCAGTGATTTAGGGACGATAATGAACATAAACAATGATACACTAATTCAATATTAGTCCACCTGGGATGCGAAAAGGTAATTCCACTTAATACCTAACGACCGGTCAAGTCCTATCTATTATACAACGGCAGACGACAATCGTCCGAAGACAAAAGCACTTTAACCAAAAGTAATTATTCCAAAGTAAATAAGGCATTATGATTGATGGGCAATACTGAAACTGCTAAATCTCCACTGCTCGGTCAAATAGCGATATAACATTAAATTTGACTCCGGGTAATGCCGATTGGTGTTCAATCTATTACAAAAGTACGAAATGCACGAAAAACATTTTAATTGTAGTGTAGAAAACATTACAGCATTCACCACCTGAGTGTTTTGTGGGAATATGAGAATGGAATGCAGAAAAACAATTTTCTGGGTGACGTATTAGTAATTATTCCAAAGTAAATAAGGCATTATGATTGATGGGCAATACTGAAACTGCTAAATCTCCACTGCTCGGTCAAATAGCGATATAACATTAAATTTGACTCCGGGTAATGCCGATTGGTGTTCAATCTATTACAAAAGTACGAAATGCACGAAAAACATTTTAATTGTAGTGTAGAAAACATTACAGCATTCACCACCTGAGTGTTTTGTGGGAATATGAGAATGGAATGCAGAAAAACATTTTTCTGGGTGACGTATTCGCTTAAAGCCTTAAAGCAACAATGACTAAACGCGCTGCGGCTCAAAGGTTGTGATTGGCTACCAATGGCATTATACAGTAAATACTAGAAATTGCGTACAAACAAACATATTTCTTACAACAAGATTTGAAAAGACAAGTTTGCACTTTTTATTTTCGTAAGCAAACGTTATTAGAAGTACCTGGGAAATTAAGGTACTCAACTAGACACCAAATGATGTACTTAAAATGCTATACCATACTGAATATATCACAATTTCTCCCAACTTAGCGAATTAAATGTGACATTAAGTATGATAAATCTGATTTGAATATATACTCTTATCAGCATAAAGGTATAGGAATTTTTCAATAGGTTTGCTCTTTTCACCGCAATTGTTATATTAAAAGTTGAATACAGTCTGACCCACGAATGAACCATGGGATTTAATATTTTACATGGAATTTGGCCAAATATGTGATATTTGATACTTATGAAAAATATTCGAAATATTCGGTTGAAATAGATTTCGTGTATGGTAGCACAATTATAAGCCTAAATATGGACAAGTGGAGGGAGTATTTAAATCATGTTTTGGCCCCTATTTCAATATCTTATTATTTAATTTTTCATTATCAATAAATTAGTCCATGGAAATTCAAACCTAACCTAATTTGAAATTCAGTTTTATCACTCATTCGCACACCTAGATCTCATACATATAATGATATAAACTATTTCAAAAGTAAATAAATACTAAGTGATTACATTTTACATCATATCTGATAAATATTTGAACGGCTTTTTCAAACGATAAACCCGCAGGGAGGGAACCTACTTCTTAGCGTGTGGTGAATCGACCTTTCGATTCGATAGGGGCAACTGTCACCACAACTAAGATTCACACTGATATAAGGTTTCACTGTATGGCTGAGTATAATACTACCTTAACCCGTATTTTATGATTGAAACTAGTTTCAAATTTGCAAAAATAGAATCTGGTTATTTTGCCAAGAGTTATTTAAAGATACCGCTAGGTAACCATAGAACCCGGACCTTTAAAATGAAACACGAGTTTTCAACAAGGGTTTATTTTCTACTCTTCACGCATGAATGAACACGTAACAGAGGTTTCTTCTGTTCCAACTACTATTTAATGGAAAGTGAATGGTGATGTTATTTATCCAAAATCGAAATATTACGGTGGTCAAACGGTATTACCAGTTTGAATAATTATGTTGCCCCGCAATTAAATATGACTACCTAATATTTGACGAATGAAATATGAAAATGATTTAGTGCCCAATAAGGTAAATAGTTTGAGTTTTATATCGTGTGATTAACTGCGGCGGTATTTCGTTTGCTCATGTGTGCGAATGACTAACATTGGGTCCGCCCATCTGGCTTTAATACGCCTCAATTGAATGACTTGTCCTCGCGACCGAAACTTGGACAAATATCGCCTAAAACATTTGATTTATCAAGTCGGGACAAAGTCCATTCGCTAAAGTGAACAAGGAATGCAAGTTAATCCACATGAGGTTCTGCATTTTTGTAATGTTTGAAAACAATATTCGCAAAAATAGTAAACATTTTCAAATTACGTTCAACATTTCAAGATAGCCTACCGCTCTATCAGTTATGCAACTAAAGCGTGGAAAAGTATAAGAGAGTCAAATTAATGAATGAAAATTACCATTATGAAATTGGAGAATATATATTGTTTTCTACAATAATTGCAAATACAAAAAGCATGTTCAACTTACCGTTTGGAACTTTATTAATTTTTGTGTCGCTGTTTGAAGTTGTAACCTCAAGCTGTCATTTTCAGACATGATTCGTTCCAGACAGTCGGCACTGCTGTTGGGTCTACTATTTCCCGTGCTGCTACTGCTTCCGCTTGTATTACTGAAATTTTTGCTGTTTCTTTTAGCGCGTCTTGCAATCCGACTACCACCAGAAGATGTGCTGGCATTGCTGTTAACGCTATCACTCTTTCCGATTGAGTATCCGCTAGACTTTCCCGTTCCAGTGGGAGAGGTAGATTGTTGTTGTTTTTGCGGAGTCATGTTCGAATGCTGATGATGTATTTGTGATGAAGCCATAACATCTCGCCTTGCTGCTTCATATCGTACGGGTGGCTGTGTTTGTTGCTGGATCGAGACAGGCGTCCCAATTACATTAGTATTTACAGTCCCATTACCGGCGAAGGCCTGAATGTCTGCGTGTTGGGGTGGTGCTGCCACATACCCGTTAGCGCTTCCACTTCTTTTAAATTGCGGTTGGTGATGTTGTTGGGGAGCTTCGGAATAAACCTAAAACACATTATTTTATGTTTTATTGTCGTTCATTTCAGATTATATTTCGGAGTTATTATCTTTATATCAGTATTTTTTTTCACCTGTAAAGCTGCGTTGTTACCGCTATTCGTAGTTGATGTTGTGGCTGTGGGTATCGACATTTCATGTGTGAAACCGAAAAACGGAGTCCCGTGAATTGGCGTCCCAGCCGACATCGGATACGAAGAGAAGTTTGTCATATGAGCATTTGTTGAAATTGCGGGCGAAGTCAAACCACCAACTGTGCCTTTTTGTGAGCCCCTGCAACAATAGAAATTTTATTTACCACATGAAAATAATACCAAATAATACATTTTACGCTACCCTGTTACGCATATACTGAATAACTAATTAAAAAGTATAGATACATACCCATACTCCATTTTCTTTCGACTAACTTGTCCAGTCAAAGATAGAGAATTCGGCCGCTGTGGTTGATGAGTGTCGTCAACACTACCTTGTGGATAAGGTGGCGGCGGTCCCCTCGGTTGACCCGCTGCTTGTGTAATTTTGGCCATTTGTGAAGGAACTTGTGGATGAGGAGGCGGTGAGTGTCTTTGAGACATCTGATGGTGTCCGATAGGGTTAGTCGGTACCGTAGCGTAGTATGGTCCGTGTGGATTGTTTCCTTGTGTCATAGTTTGTTGCGGTAATCCTCCCATTCCAGATGGCGTCAATACCATGCTTGATAAATGAGGCACGTTATGGTGTGACTGTGGATACTGCTGTTGTTGTGTATTAATAATGTTTCCTATTTCACCCAGATTTGAGTTAGATACATTAAGCTGTGATATATCCTTTTTCCTATTGTCTTCGTTTAACGAAATCTGAAATTTTGAAAAAATAAACATTATATGACGAAGTAAAAAAATTTATATCCTGATTGGGGCAATAACAATTTATGCAATAGTGACATTAAACACAAAATTTCAACCTCACAGATTTGTGTGTATATTCTTTCCCTAAATGACAGCCCCAACTTCTTCTTAAAATTGGTGTATAAATTTGAAAAGCAAAACAAATAAGTTTATTTTTTCACAACGAACTTAAGTTCACCGAATAATTGCTGAAGATCGCTATCCCATCGGACATCTCCGGTTTCAGGCACGTTTTTTACAATCAATTGGCAAATTATCATTCCACATCCGATACCAACTTACCAAATTTAGAAACTGAAATTTCAATATTAAAATACATCTCCTACCTAAGATCTATTGATAAGACTAAAATATATGGATATTCAACTATAAAAATAGTTTCATATGTTTTCAGATTATAGACGAAGAGATACCGCGATCTATAATCCAAATAAACTTTAAGTTTCGCTTCTGTAAAATAACCACCTTTTAAGTCTAAACTGTCAATTATAGCTAATGGCAGGAAACTCATTTATTGGAATTTTAGGATTTCGATGTTTTAAAGAAACCCCTAAGATATGATAAGACAAAAAGGAATTTCCTGCGATCGCTAACGATGTTTCACTATCTTATCTAATCTGATCAAATCTGACAAACTTTCGACGGCCCGGCTCCATTCTTTCCGGAATTGTATACGATTATATATAATATATATATACATATTCGAAGTGGCTAGGTATGTATGTAAATAATCGTTCTCTATCTATTGTGATGAGTATGGATTCTTTTATTCAAAAAGCATTTTTTCAGTCGTACGTGAACAACTATGAAATATACAGGCAAAATTTAATTTATTTCCGATTAGTTGAATTACCTACTTATATAGATTAAAATATTTGATAATATTTAAAACATACATGTGGCCAATCTTTAGATCATATTGTCACGAAACAGCGGTTATTCGAGGAAAATCGTTAACGATCGATAGACGACCACAAGTCATTTCGCTGAGACAATTAGTCTTCTATTCTAAAATTTCTCACTGTTCAAGTATTACGTGTAGAACATAAATACTTGTGTAATGCTAACTTATACTTTCTGCATTCTTATATATATATTCTAGTTGGATTGGCAAGTGCTCCTTGTATATACTGACTCTTATGATTTTAATATTCTTCAATTTAATTTATTACCCAAATATATATATATATATATATTAATATAACCTTGAATTGGTAACAGGAACATTTCACAAAGGAGTGTACAAAAATTGAACTAATAAATAACAACATTTCACAAGCCAATCGACTTCATAGCCTAAAACCTTATACGCTCCTTCTACAGACTGCATCAAATAGTCAATGACTTCAATTTACAGCTTATCGATGCAAGTCAAAACGGTTATTTGTAAAAAGCCTCGGGCGATTTAATAAGCTCACACGATAACTCGAAAAACGACGCTAAATACCTCATCCGACAGTAAAAGACGAAATATCGGTGGCTCAATTTGTGGAATGCGAAATCCGCCATTGTTTATGATCCAAAGTTCGACATTCAACTCCAAAAGGTGATGGTGAAAATATTATATCGAAATTAATAAATAAAAACGTTCGTGTTCTAGATTAATACTATGATATATGCCATATAATCAGATCCAAAAAACATTCTACCTGCCTTTTTGAACGCCTCATTTTTTACATTGCTCATGAAATACTTTTACAATTTATTTTCCAATTTTCTTGCCTCAAATTGGTATTACTTTTTTTAAGTCCAATAAAAATTTAAGGCGCCAACCAATCTATTGCATCACATTCCGAGCAAATGAAAGGCGCGATTGAGGTCGCCATTAACAAATTAAACTCAATTATAAGTTAAAAGTCTCGTTCTTCAGACGAAAATATTTTGCTTCTTTACGGATTAAAATGCCAATGTGAGAATTATAGATTTCAAAAACAGCCTCGGGATTAAAAAATAGACCGTAATAAAGCACAAGAATTAAAATAATAATAAAAACAAAGATATTACAAATGATACGGAAAAGACCATCGGCTTACTAACTTGCTAATAATGAGTCCCAGAGAGAATATATTCTATACAGAACGACCAGCAATGATGAAATACTGTACCGTTCATACAGTATAATGAAATATTATGAACATAAAAATATTACCATATTCGTATGAATCGTATCATAAACAATAACACCTGTCTTTCACTGCGGTTAGTTTGATAAGAAGAATTACTAACTGTCAGCACTCGGCACGTCTACAATATAAAATCTAGTCAATCTAAATCTACCAGATATTTATATATTAACCGAACGTTGAACCTCAACCGACCATAAACACACTTCCACTCCCAACGATTTATAGATGGAACTATACCATTTTAATGAACACCCACCTAGTAAAATAGTTCATGGCCCCATTAGCCGATTTAAAATGCCAAAGTTCAAAGGCTAAACTATGATAAGAAACAGAGATGGACTGACGAAAATACCTATATTATACTAAGCAGGCCACCGGGATGGACAATCTTGTAATATGCTCACAAGCATTCATTTCGGTATTAATCAGATAGGCAATGGATTAATTTATTCAAAGCAAAATTAGCGAACCAAACAAAACAAATCTATAAGGAAATTGACATTTTATGAATCGATTTTACGTATTTGACATAAGATCGATTTATCAATAATAAAGGCAAAAAAGGGACGATTCAAAGACAACATCAATAAGGACAGCTGCATTTCTTTGATGAAAATATATTCAACTTCCATTTAGATTTCGGAAAAAAAACTAATACATTGAAATTGAACAACGCTTCTTCTAACGCAGTCTCACTCCAATGTTTGAGATAATTTCAAAAATGCGACAGTTTGGTGACATTAACGAGAGTATCAGCAAACAATTTACGCACACAGCGAATCGATGACGTCTTTGCTAGCAAATTCTACAAAAAAGGGATTTGTGTTTTGACTTAGCTTTTGTCCTGTGGAAATCGGGAAATGTATTTATTGGCGCCTATTTAGAACAATAATAGACTGTTACGGTGTACGTAAATATGATGGAAATAGATTTAAATCCGATAAATAACAATGTGGGTACTAAATGTCTCTTCCTTAAAGATTGAGAAATCCTTACTTACTTATAAAGTACAAACTCTAAGATATTTTTTACACTTTGATATTCTCCAAACCAGACGACGATGAAAATGCACGTCAATAAAAACTAAAAGGGTAGAAATGCGGTTGAAACAGCTGGCTTGGAAAGTATTTACGAAAGCAATGTGGGCACCGTTCAAAGACAGAGTAGATTTTGGCAACAGCGTGGTTTTTACACGCTGAGTGCTCGAAAACGAAATAAAAAAAGTGAAAACCAGTTATTGTATTTGAGTTAACATGTTATATATTACAATTATACTATATACTAAAGTGAAAGAATGTAATTTGAAAAGTAGCGACAATTGAATATTTCGATAATAAATCCGACATTTGGCCCCCAAAGCGTATTTTGTCGTTGCTGATATCCGTTTGTGGTTTTATGTTACAAAATTAATTTACCTTAAATGATTTGTTAAATTCAAATTACATTCAAATCAGCACCGTTTGCAGCAATGGCACAAAGTAAGGAGTTTTATACATATTTTCAAGCAAATTTCTCCCCTTCCCATCCCAGCAAATCCTAATATACACAGTAAATATAGTATTGATTTATGAATGCGCACTTATCCATCCCCAATATTCTGTAAAATATATTCTTATACAACGCAAATTTTTCTATCTTAAACCTCACCCTCTCAATTTATTTGATGGGAAATCGAAATAAACTTGACACGACTTGACTAAACACACAATTGAAAAATCCTGAAATAAGCCGTAATTGAAAGAAAAAATAACTTTGTTCCAAGCCAATAAATAAACAGAATGTACAATAGGAACGACTGTTTTAATTTCCTTCCCATTGATCGTGACTGCGCAGAGGGAAATAAAACGAGGTCAATCGTTTGATTCACTGTAATAAAAATTGAGATAAACCTACTAGAATTTACTGAATAGAACCACTTCCAAGTACAAGCAATGTCAGTTAATAGAACGCAAGGGGTCCGAGCAATCATGTTTGGCAATAAATGGCAAAATCTTGCATATAACTCAGAATCAACATTTTTCCTAAGTCCTGCTTGGAACCTCAATAAATTACACCTGTGTCGTGTCTCCAATATTATAGATCCTACACTTCTAAAGTCGTGGAACACGCGTTTAGTTTTGCATGGGATTGCAATAGATAAAAAAAGATAAATCTTACCACAATAGGCTATCCTTCTGATAGTGATTCTAAAAACATCTGACTTCTCATCAACAAACTAATGACTCATAAAAGAATGAAACCCCACAATGACATTTTAACAATGGTGCACATAAAATTCATTCTCATTTAATTCTAGTTTACAGTGATAATATTAAGCAATAAAGCCAATTAGTGCGTTAAATCGGTTCATTATGGAAAGGCGATAAGTCGTTTTATTGGGGTTCATGAAAAGACATGAAGATTGATGTGCAGAATTTTTTACGAGTACGTTCAACTACATTTTTTGCAAATGAACAAAACTTTGATTTATTTTAATTCGATAAATCATCAATATAACGTTATGGAGATAACTCATTTACTGAAAATTCCATAAAAAAGAAATGAATACGTAAACTGAATCATGAGTTAAACATGTAGTATAGAGAATAGAAACACAGTTCTTTTATCATAAACAATGAATCACCGAGCTACAGCGTAATCTCGCTCGGACAAAAGATTTCTCATACCAAGGTAAAGAATTCCGTCATAACAAAATACTTTATCTAATAATTTTATTCGAAACTTGCATACACATGGAATTTTGACTAACAATATCAGTCACGTATAACATGTAAGTCCGTTAACACGCCGCGGCGAAAACAACATTTTCCCAGAACCTTTGAA